GTTTAACTTATCTTATTTCTTATCCATTCGGAAAGAATAATCTGTAACGCAATGATTAATATCAATCAATCAGGATTGATCCGAATAATTCGCATTATGAATTTGAAAAAAGGTGGGTTTCCAGTAGTTAACACTATAGATTTGGGGTACCAGTTCTCAACCCTGTGTCGAAGGCTAAGGAACTATGAATTTGTGTCAGTGAAAAAAAAAAACTTTTCTTTGGGGAATTCCGGTTGTACGTACACCTGCTTGGTAAAAACGGCGGCACTGTTTCATCTATAATCGCGACTTGACTTCCCGAGAGGGGTATTATATTAAGTTCGGTGTTCTTATTACAAATACAAAAAAAACAAAGAAATTATAAGTAGCGAGGAAAGAAATACACCATCCAATAATAATTCCTCATAATAATAGTAGCACATTCTGATGGTTTAAAATCGACACAGCAAACTGAAAAATATATTCCACCTCTAAGCCTTCTGTCAATTGTGTTGACACGCGGGCTTTTTGAGTTGTTTGAAAGGAGGGCTTGGTTTATCTAAATGAGCTAAACAAACAGGCTTAGTTATTACGAGGAGTTTCATAAGCAATAAATTCTCAGCCCAAATATACAAAAAGGGGAACTACAACAGTTTGAACTATGGAGACTAAAGGCGACTGTTTGTTGAGGAAGAACGTCATGTTTCGACGAATAACTTTTCAAGCGCATGTGTCCTCCTATTGCACTTTGTACGGCTTAAGGGTGAAACCCTGCATTAAAATTCCCATAGACACTATAGTGCTAAATGTCCATACTTCAAAATTCTTTTAAAAATACTCAGAACTCTCACAGTTATTTAAGCTGCACAGACAAATGATGATCAACATGTCATCATTCCTTTTCTTTTCATTTTTTGGTGGGTTGATCGACCATTGACTTTTCGAGAAATTCTCACACGAAGAAGACGACCCCTATTTTCCCCAAAGCGGACAAGTCTATAGCCATCCTGAAAAACGATCCCTCCACAACATAGCAACATAGCGCCACTTTCGAGCCCAATTGCATCCAAAATGCTCAAAATTGGAAGCCCCAAGTCCGGGCCAGAGGTACATTGGTAAAAATATCTCTTCAATTCCCCAATGTTATGGCTCTCAGAACTCTCTAATATAGAATATTTTGAGGCTATAACTTTTATTCATGAGCTCGGCGGATGGATTGAGGCCTATTTACCGGGCTTCTTAATGTTCATCATTTCAACGCACATTAATAAAGGCGGTGATAATTATCGTGTATTGTGATATAAGTATGACAAGGGTTTCCGGACGGGTGACACAATGCCAGATATTTCGCTAGGAAACAGATGTCGGACACAATAGGGACTTTTTACGGGAACAAAAATCACATCAGCAACCAATTCGTTAACTGACCGAACGAACAGATGATAATTGTCAAGCTATTATGTATCAAATGTGGATTTTGTTAGCAATACAGTCGCAAATTGCTTACTGGCGGGATTGACCGGAAATATTTATAAGAATCAAACAGTATAAGAGGGCCTGACCCAGCAGGATGTTTCTCAAGGCAACATTTAGCTTATAGTTTCATTGGCACCACGATAGAAATAACTTCAAGGTCATCCAAAACTTCATAAGGCTTTCTTGACATCGCTGATGATAGAACGATTGTTGTAGTGCATGTCGGATTTATCTTTGAGATCTTATCGCGTGGTACGTGGTGGAACGATATGGAGATAAATAGAAAGAACGGGTGTTCTTTTGTTTAAGGGGCAAAGGTCAATGCAAACTGTGCAAACTGAAATTGTTATACAACAGATAAGGCAAAAAAAAAAAGTCTCCAGTTTCTGGTATGGAGCTTGCCCAAAAAGTGGTGCGGCGACGCGGCTTTTTTTTTTTTTTACCTGATTTTTTTGGCTTCCAATGTCGGCTGATGACTGCAAATGGTGCCCGACTAAACTTAGTGCAAATATATGGGAGTCCAGAGAGGCCACATAAAGCTTATTCTCGACCATAACCCAATCTAAAAACACGTTAAAATTGTGCAGCAGCATGATTCCAGTCAAACCAGTGAGTTTGGCGGTTTTGAGACATCATCTTTCATTGAAAAAAAAAACGTTTTCATTTTGCCGACGCGCATGGCAACGGCGACGCGCGCGCATACCAGAAACCGGAGACTTTTTTTTTTTGGCTTTAGGATGCAGCCTCATACAAGCAACCAGTCGGCAGGCTCCTTAGGCCGAATAAAAAAAAACATGTTTCTCGTCCGGGTGTTTGAAAAAAAAGGAGGAAGCGGGGCCTTTTATTTTTTGTCATGTTTTATTTTCAATGAAATAATTTTTACAAAATGAATAACATAATATAATACATTTGCGGGGTGAATTTACAAGAGAGGTCATCCACTGAAAAAAAGGCGCTCTCTCTTGCCCACAATATTTCAAAAAAGGCGTATATGGACCTTATAGGTAGCAGTCATCAAGGCAATACATTTGTCTTGCTGTGACATACCAGAAATAAACCTTTTAAGCACTCATTGTTACTGAATTAAAATAACGATGCCCTATAAGATTGCCGCTATACGCATAAAGTCTACCCATGAGGTCTAAGAAATACGAAGGCTGCTCAAGTTTAAGGAATAAGTCAATCTGGCATGAAATGTCATCATGGCCTACGTCAAAGTGAAAATGCACAAAACGCTGCTCCGTCCCATAAATTCAAAACTTTTATTTTTCGATTCATTGACATTCAACGGTTGTATTCAAAAATGCTATCAAAAGCTTGGAAAAAACAACGACTATCCTCTATCAATAGAATTTCTGTAGAAATATAACTATGCAGTTTTTCTAGTATATATTTTCCTGCTCAGTCTTGCAATTGACTTTGTATTTCGTTAATCTTTCAGAAATTTGAGATAATTAACACACTGTTATAATGCAACTCAAAATAATTATAATATAGACGACTACATGTAATTGTCGCACAGATTTTTTATATTATTCAGGGAATTATTTTAATTAAGGGAATTATTGTTGTTAATGTATTTTTACTCTGTTGGACGCTTTTTAATCAAATTTGGTATACTACTTTTAATTGGATAGTTGTATTTTTGGGAGACAGGTGTTTTTACCAATTAATCTGAATAAATAAAGTATTATTCCATCCTGTATGCTCATTGTCTCTGTCCCTTTGCCAGATTCATGCTATTGTGTCTCATTCAGTGCACATCACTGGAGTTCTATCATTCCGTTTCTATCATTCCGTTCCCCCTGTGAGCGTCCTTCGTTTGTCTTCTAAGGCCAAAAAAAAAGTCTCCGGTTTCTGGTATGGAACTTGCCCAAAAAGTGGTGCGGCGACGCGGCTTTTTTTTTTTTTTTTTACCTGATTGTTTTGCTTCAAATGTCGGCTGATGACTGCAAATGGTGCCCGACTAAACTTAGTGCAAATATATGGGAGTCCAGAGAGGCCACATAAAGCTTATTCTCGACCATAACCCAATCTAAAAACACGTTAAAATTGTGCAGCCGCATGATTCCAGTCAAACCAGTGAGTTTGACGGTTTTGAGACATCATCTTTCATTGAAAAAAAACCTTTTTCATTTTGCCGACGCGCATGGCTACGGCGACGCACGCGCAAACCAGAAACCGGAGACTTTTTTTTTTTTGGCCTAACTGGTTTTTAAAGTACATATTGAGTTACCAAGACAGCATTTCTCTTCAAATTGTCAGTTTTATAAGGGGAAATGTGGGGGAAATGTTCAAACGGAGGCCTTTTATTTCGTGTAACAGAGGAAGTGAGGACAGGGTTGCAAAAAATGGGATGACGCGTTTTCAGTTCACTCCTTGGTCTTGGTTGAAGGCGCTAGGGATTGGTATTAATCGCCATGCGCAGGTACCACGTACTGATTGTTCAGTAGTAGTGCACCCTCTAATGACACACTTCGAACCGCCCGCAGCCCCGCACTGGTGCAAATGAAGTAGGACAGTCTCTCATGCGAGCCGGAGGCCTAGGGCGTCTTGTAGTACTATGGAAATCGGCAATGCAGCGTCAATCGCTCAAGATCGAACGTCTTGAACCCAGACTGTATTCACAGACGTTTAATCAGCGTCATATTGCTACTTCGTTGAATTATGTAGACAAGAACAATAAATTATACCATTAGCCTAAATGTTATTCTGTTCAATAAATAAGGCCCACTTAAATTAAATACGTACCAAATTCTTAAGTGACTGATAGCAAGTCTAGCTTTGCATCGTCGCACATTCATAGGTTCAAGTGCAGTGTAGGATCGTGTTCGTGAACTTGGTTTGACGTGACTTCGCAGTTTGATGTTTGAGAACTCTGACTTTGACCACAATATAATTTCGGATAACCTGGAAACCGTGTTAGTGAATACACACGTCCGTTCGTTTTCGACTTGTTAACATCAAATCTATGTTCATAATACTATAGTTTTTTTTCTGTGGGAACATGTACCTGGCACAAATTTTCTGTGCTAAAAGTATTGACAGACGAAAAACTCTGTGCCAAAGGACTTTATAAACCATACTCACAATTACCGGTCACAAAATAGATAAAATGGCAATATTTTGGAAGTTCATATTTTAGAAGAATAGTTGCTGAAGAATAGTTGCGTTTTATTGTTTCATCTGACTTTCATGGTCCAAGCATGTTTTATATAACTGTGGCCAAAGCTATAGTGTTTAAGGCCTGATCACTAGGAGTTTTTAGCTAATCACAATTTTAAACGTCAGTTTCAGGAAAAAGCTGCTTACTAAAAATTCAAACGTTCCCAGCTTCAGCTGCCTGCTAGTTTGAATATTTTCGATTTGATTCTTACTATTTTCATTCTTTGCTAAAGAATGTTGTTATAGGGATGTTCTTTTTACGACTTTCACCTGAGGTATGGTGTGTAAATAATTTTGGGAAGTTCTGTTTAACTATGACACATTCCAATAAAAATGCTGGTTGTGTCTTCACAAACATCTTTTCTTCCTTTCTCTTCAAGATGGATCGCAACATCCCAGATGCAGCCCACGGATGCAAGGCGGGCGCTGCCTTGCTTCGACGAGCCAGCCTTCAAAGCCGTCTTCGACGTGGAGATCACCCACCGCCCCACAATGACCGCGCTGGCCAACGGCATCGAGCGACCGGGGGAGATCAAGCTGCCCGTGGGGACGGACGGTCGCTGGGTGGTGACACGGTTCAAGCGAGTCCGGGAAATGTCCACTTACCTGCTGGCTTTCGTAGTCTGTGATTTCAAGTACACGAACGCCACCACCGAGAACGGAATCCTGGTAAGGAAGTTCCCCTTGCTTTGGGATTACGGATTCGTTAATTCTCCGATACCTGATATTCTGTTCTTTCTTCTGCATTAAAAATGAAAATTTGCCCTTGTTCACATTACCCCGTGTTCCCTTGTGTTTACATTTATAGTTCAGGGTGTGGTCACGCCCCGACGCTGTGGAGAACACCAAATACGCACTGGACGTCGGCACTAAAATCCTGACATATTTCGAAGACTACTTTGACTTCGCTTATCCCCTGGAAAAACAAGGTAAACGGACCATCATTGTTTGCGCCAATTAGAGGCTGTACATTTTAAAACTTAGATACCATCATTTTAATTGAATTTCTGGACCGCTTTTGTTTCATCAATGATTTTCTTTAAGTAGTCCTTGTGTTTCGTGCTTCAGATATTTTTTTTAGTGTTTAGACCGTTTAACATTCTTTCTTTCTTTTGTTGTAACCGCGCCTAAAGTGGCCTTTGCCTTTGTGGCTCTGCGATAGTACGTTTATTTTCTTTTAATAACTCGATCATCATTGTCGTTTTTTTATCCCTGCCTTTACTGAACTGCAAAATTCAAACATTCATCAGTATTATTGGCTTTTGATTTGTTTTATCAATTGTAAATCTTTATGAGGCACCTTGTTCAGAATTAAGTTTACTTAATTTGAGCCCCTTAAATGCTTAACTCAGAAGAGATGCTTGATACAGCTCGTTGGAGGGGTTCTTGCCTGACAGCTGAGCACTGTGATTGGTTTTGATTCAATATGGACCATCGTTTTCCCCGATGTTTTTATCGTGTTCTCCGCTAGACATGGTGGCCGTCCCTGATTTCAGCGCAGGTGCTATGGAGAACTGGGGCTTGATCCTCTACCGTGAGACTGCACTCCTGTACGATCCCGAGCTGAATTCAGCAAGTAACAAACAACGCGTGGCAGTGGTCGTATCTCACGAACTAGCTCACCAGGTAATTTCTTTCCGGTAACTAGAAAGCACTTACAGAGTGCAAACCTCCGCCAAGGCTCAACAATTCCCCGCCATATTGTCACTTCTCAATAGGAAATACTCGCATAAATGGTGACGAATCCTTAAACAAAATCCTGGATCCAGACCCAGATCAGGAACACTTCCAAAATCTACTGTACCTGTACCAAGGACCACCCCTAAAAGAATTTCGTGCAAATCCGTCCATAACTTTTTGAGATATCTTGATAACAGACAAACCGACCAACCAACCAACTGACAAAATCCGGTGAAAACATAACCTCCTTGGCGGAGGTAATAACACCAAGAGTGCACCTGTTGCATTGGGAGTCACCATTGTCGTGATTGTATGTGCAAACCTGCATGCTAACGTGTACTTGACGTAATGTTCATATTCACATCTAATTGAAATTAAGAGAAAAATGAGAAGAAATGTGGTCACCAGCGATCAGTCAACAATTCATTTCGTGCCTTTTTTTTTTTAGCGTAACCTTCATTATATCTTCAATGTACCACAACTTGATCGCAAACATATCTAACTTCACAATATCGTTTTTGGAGGTGTGTACTTATTCAAAAGTATTCCCTTTTTTCAGTGGTTTGGAAACCTCGTCACCCCGGAGTGGTGGGATGATCTTTGGCTGAATGAAGGATTTGCAACCTACGTGGAGTATCTAGGAGTCGCCGAGGTCGAACCAACCTGGCAAATGGTATGTGTATAGTAATTCCTTAACCTTGTTAGACGAGTAGAAAATAATAGGTCATGATTGGGCCGGGCCCTGTGAAGCAGTGGCGTGACGCCCCCCCCCCTCCCCAAATTTCCCCTTGGGTCGCCAACTGAAAAATCCTGGCTACGCCAGTGCTGTGAAGGCGTCATTTGGGGGCAAAAGACAGACTTATACCCAATGTTATTAACGTGGCATTGCATGTTGCCTCACTTCCATTTGTTTTTTTTGGTTTTTTTGCAATCTGTAATTTTAAGATTGAAGCAAAATTACTACACACTGTTTCAATGAACGTAACGTGTCTTCTGTTTTTACCCAGAAATTGGTGTCGTCATGGCGCCCTCACACTTTAAAAAGATCCATTTCAGATTTGGTCCGGAAACCGGGTGAAGTTTGAACTGGTACTTTTCTGGGTCAAAATGACACTTCTCTGGATCATTTTCCGGGTCATTTTGACCCGGAAAAATGTCATTTTGACCTGGAAAAGTATCAGTAAGTTGATTTGCATCAGTGCATTCGCTCAGAATATTGCGCCTTGAAGTCAGATGACAGCTCCTTATTATTAATCTACTTCAGATTTGATATGACCAGCAAAAAAAATCATTTTAATATCAGATGAACTAGAAAACTATTAATATGAAAAAAAATCTTTATTTAATTATGCAGAACGTATTTAAGGCTTAAAACTTGGTTCATATCAAACAAGACAAATGTAATAATACGATGTTGTCCACTTGTTCTCCCCTAACTCGTTCTCTGTCCGCTTTGAATAGAAATTGCAATTCTTGGTTGAGGACCTGCAGCCCGTCTTCACTGAGGATGCCCTGGGTACGTCTCATCCCGTCAAGGTACCCGTCGGAGCGCCCTCGGAAATCAACGAAATTTTCGATTCAATCTCTTACCAAAAGGTATATTGGCAAATAATTACCATTAAGTAAAATATAACCAAAGTAATCATACAGGATGTGTTTTTCAGTAAAACGTTCATTTATAAAAACAGTTATTGGCTAAGCAGTAACAGGTGGCCTCATAAACATCGTGGGATGATTCTTAGCCCTTCCTTTTAAATAAAAAAATGGGAATATGAATACTACCCACTCACCCAAGTGTGTAAATTCATGTGTGGACCCCCTATTGTCCCTCTTTTGTTTGTACTTTAACTTTAACTTTTTTTAGGAAAAACCTCCCATATGTTTTGTAGACGATCATCAATCGGGGACCTTCCGCAATTGTGGACCCTATTGTCCTCTATTGTTCAACGTCCCCAACTGAATGCAAGAACAAACTCACCCCTGCTCCAAAGTTGTGTACGTTTGTGGAGTGTCTGCATGGCGGGAGCAACCTCGTTATAGGAATGGTTTCTATTGACCTTTCCCGCGCATTGACCAATCAGATCACGACTTTTGGTCAGGTGACCACGGAAGCTTGGTCAAGAGCACTATGAAAAATATACACGAAGAAAAGGCGGGTGGGCGTGGCTTATGACTAAATCTGGAATAGCATTTTGTAGGGAAAATTGAATGGACAGAGTTGTCGGGAATCTAAAGCGTGTCCACACAATGTTTATTATCCCCTTAATATGCGTCATGGGACTTGTGTGGTCTCCTAAAGCCTAGTGGATTGGTTGTGTCTCTGTGTGGGCGGAAAGAGGGGGAAGGCGCGTGGGAGGGGAGGGGGAAGCGGCGGAGGTTAAGACATTTACAGACAGGGAAAGGGTTTTGTGCAATGTCACATGTCGCCACGTCCCCTCTTGGCTGTGTCAGTTTGTAATCAACTCATCATGATCATATCTGGAACAGGGAGGCTCGATCATCCGCATGTTGGACAATATCCTGACTGAGGAGGTGTTCAAGATGGGTCTCAATTACTACCTCTTCGAACGATTCTACGGTAACGCCAACTCGGACGACCTGTGGACTGTACTCACCTATGTAAGTTTCCTGATCGTCAGTTGATAATTTCGAAATTTTCATGACATTTCTGTTTCATTAACATCTTTGCAAGGCAATTATTATGCGGACCCTTTGCATGGCGGCCATGTTGGTGGTATATGCAGTTGTTCCACAGAGATTAGCATGAGTATATGCATTCATTGTCACTGAGTCGAAATTGCAACTCAAAGATGGCTGCCGAGTGCAAAGGATCTATTGCTTTCTGCATAACCATGTCTTGCGGATGCACCTCTCCCTACCACTACACAAAAGGTGTTTTTTTACATGATATTTCTTGAAACCTATGAACTCTTTTATTCACATTGATTGTAATTAATTTTAATGTTTACAGGCCGATAAAGGTATAGGTGACAACGACGTGAAGAAGATCATGGATACCTGGACACTACAGATGGGCTACCCTTACGTGACTTTTCAAAGAAACGGAGCCATGCTTACAGCTACGCAGAGGCATTTCTTGAACAACCCTAACAGTACAGTGGAGGACGGGAATTTCGGAAACCAAGGGTGAGCCATTCAAATGATATTTTTGGAGGGTAAATAATCCTCAAACTGTTAACTGACTTTGGCTTTGACTTAGTAGGAAAGTAACTGTGATCGACAATAATTAATCGGACAAGACACAAACTGTTTGCGATAAGGTCATGTTTGCATGACAGGTACCTATTGCAAGAATTCTCCAAGCCAAGACTCAGGTATTTCTGGAAGTCCCAAATTACTTGGTTTTTTTTTTGGGGGGGAGGGATAATATTTTACGCAGCTTTGGGGCAATTTCATGTATGGATGCACTACGATGTGTCTAAACGGTTGGGACTTGAGGATAAGATTAATAATTCGTCTCGCCCTCATTGTCTGTTTGTTTACTTGTTTACAAACAAGAATATAGGTTGCATGCAGGAAACCGTCTCGGATTACGTTGAAAACCAAATTGATCACTAATGTATTTAACATTTCTCTGTTGTTTTTCCTGAACAGCTACCTGTGGTATGTTTACTTACTTTACACGCACGAAACAGAACAGGAATATACGAACCCCATGACTCAGTGGATGAACAAAGAGAGAACAGGTACGGCTTATCAGCGCTCATCATCTCCCAACTCTTCTCCACTAAACCAAATAGATCACTTGCATTGCAGTTATCTTTGGGATGCGAGCTTTTTAGGGAGTCGTATGAGTATTGCTACTCTGAGGTAAAATTGGATTGGATTGCCTATAATTGTTATGGGCTTCGACAGCGACCAAGACACCCATATCAGCCTATACGACAGATTCTGTAAAGCCACATTGGATATTCACAGCGAGGCTTCATTTACAAAACAAAATGACATTCTTGTGCCGTGACGTAAGAATTCGTGGCTACCCACTCCTATTGGCTTACTCTCTCAGTTAATCACACCATAGAATTGGATTATGTGCAGTTACATGTAGCTGGTGACTTCCTAAACATACATCAGGTGCCTACCCCCCCCCCCCCCCCCCCACCCACCAAAAAATATGCTTAGCACGTTTGTCTTAATATACTTTATGAAACTGTTTGGAAACAAATCAAGGAAAGCTGTTTTTAGAAAACACGTAAATAAATCATCGATCTCCTCCCGAAGGACAGTTATACCGCCTCCCGCCCCAGCTCACAAACACACTCAAGTGAAAGTATAAAGTCGACTTTATATACGATCTATATTGCAATAATTTGTTTCTGATGGAGAGGCTCTATAAAAACCTTTTGTTTTCATAGTTGAATTCAGCTTGGGGAGCACATACGAAGAAGACGACTGGTATCTAGTCAATGTGAAGCAATATGGCTACTACAGAGTCAACTACGACACAGAGAACTGGCAAAGACTCAGTGATCAACTCGAGGCAAAACACGAGGTGAGTGGAGTACCATGGCGTGAACGTACGGGCGCCATACGGGCGCCATACGCACGGCCGCCATACGCACGTATACGCGATGTGTCCTTAGCTGACTTACTCGAGTATGGCACCATGCACACGGCACATCTACAGTTTCGCCCAGGCACTCTTTCCATGTAGAGTGTATCCTTATGTCTTTGTGCTTTTGCAATCTAATAACCACAAGGACAATGTTACGCATCGCATTTGCACTTTCTGAAACCAGTATTACATGTACCTATGAAGGTATAAGTTGAGTTTAGTTGTTTGTGCCACTTGTTTTGGAGCTATAACTGTTCCCGTCTCCAAAGAGAAACATATATTCTTTCGCACACCATAACTTTATACATTGGCCGTTTGTGTATTTTATTTTTGGTTTCTATCACACAAAAAGATTTTGTCTTAATATGAAGTTTTTTTGTTTGGTTTTGTTTTTCTCAAAAGGTGATTCCAATCGAAAACAGAGCAGCACTTATTGACGACGCATTCAACCTCGCCAGAGCGGGTGTAATCGAGCAGACGACTGCGTTAAGTCTAACTAAATACCTGACGAAAGAGAAGCAGTACTTACCGTGGGAATCCACATTGGTTGTTATCTCGTACATCCGGGACATGTTCAGCCGTTACTCTGGTTACGGACCTCTTGAGGTAAGAGTTGAAAAAAAGGTAAACGGAATGCCATATTACAGTGTTTCATTACCCCAAAAAAGGTGTCTCGGCTATTACGAACCGGTACCCTCTGCTTTAAAACTGGAAATAGTTTGGGCGTAACAACGTCACTTCGTATTGGTGGATTGTTTCATTTATGTACTTAAATAATTCAAAATGTATAAAATCAACTTTGACGGTTAAACATAGCTCTGTTTAGAAATGTTTGGCCGTTTCCGAAAAAGTGTCCAGAACAACGGCTACGCCTAGAGTCAACCGGTCCTCTCTTCCTTGGAATTGTCTTTCGAATACGGAATGCCTTGACAAGAAATTCGAAAGCGGTATTGTTCGTGGAATTTTACACTTGTCTTGTCTGTTAACGTGTTACCCTAGTTGTATATTTAAACACATTTTTACATATGCTCCGATTATAGAAATACATGTTGAAACAAATCAAGCCGCTTTATGATGACCTGGGATGGAACGACAACATCACTGCTCCAGACAACTCTCACCTGACTCAGTAAGTACATGTGTATGACTTGAGTGCATCTTCTGGTGTGTTCTCGTTCGCGTCAAGTTGACATGATAACCACCAACGTATGTCCGGGCCCATTATCAATATGTAAAAGCCATCATACGGTACGTCAGTCATCCCTATAGCAGGAATCATAAACGGTCCAATTTGGACGGGGAAGCCCCGGGTCCGGGTCAATTCTTGGAGAGGATACTGAATGAGTTTTGTCGCTGTTTCAAACGTTTTCCATTTCAATTATGAGCAGGGACCATAATTCAGTGGGAGGTGCACTTGGCCTCCAGCGTGGGGGGGGGGAGGGGGGGGGGGGTTAAGCCAGTGATGCGAAGGCAATTATATCGAGGCATGTATATGATGCACACAGTCTGTAAACGGTTGTTTCTGTACGCTGTGCATTTGGGCATATTCACTAGGATTCATCTGGAATTATAGTAGGTTGGACCGTGTCTTCTGGTTTTTGTTTCATGGACTACAAAGAGGTTACATAGGTCACTCCCTAATTCTGTAAATCCTCTATTTCCGGCCGTATGTCTTTCGGCTCCTTTCTCTGAATTGACCCCATTGATCGCTTCTTTCTTGCAAGGTACAACCGCATCAACGCCCTGGGAACAGCGTGTCGCTACGGCCTCAAGGATTGTGTCATGGAGGCTTCAAGATTGTATAAGGTGTACATGGACAACCCCTCCGTTAATCCGTGAGTATTATATTTTTTTTAAATTTTAATAAGGCGACCTTCCAGCCGGCAGCCGAGGACTACAATTAACATTAATCTCGTGCCCGGAAATATTCGGAAATCATACGGGCCTGTCAGCAGTTTTGGGGAATAATCAGGTAAAAAGAAAATGTGGATCGTTTTTTGGGAGTCAATAACAGCACTAAATGCGCGTCATTTTAAGTAATATCGTCATTTTTTTTTTACCCATTTTGATTAGAATTACGCCGAACCTGAAGTCAGTGGTTTACTGCAACGGCATCCGTTACGGCGGGCAGGACGAGTGGGAGTTTGGCTGGGGAAGATACGGCAACACCAGCGACTCGTCCGAGAAAACGAAGTGGCTGAGTGCATTGGCGTGTAGCACAGAACCCTGGATTCTAAGCAGGTGTGGATTGATACTCTTTAATTGATTTGCTTATTGGTTTCCCCAGTCTTCGGTGTGATTTCAACCATTTCTAAGCCAAATGAGGGTTGAAAGAGGTACACCGCCTTCCATACTCATTTATCTCATTCTCAAATCAGAGTAATTTTCACTCTATTACGGTCTGGTTCTTAGTTTCACTCTTTGAAAGCAAACGGAGGACTTTCGACAGCGACCCTCTGCTCAGAACAACCACATATTACAGCTTTTTTTGGACATTCTCTATTTTGTAGATTCTTGGAGTATTCTACCACCAAGATCCCGCAAGGCGATACCATTAACGTCATCCGCTACATCGCCTACAACTACGTGGGTCGCGCCCTCGCCTGGGACTTCGTCAGAGCCAACTGGGACAAGCTCTACAACGAGTAAGACTTGTTTCATTCCGGGAACAAAAAAAGCACGAACATTTAAGATTTCTTTACTGCATGCTGGGACAAAAAGGTGAAACTCTTTGGGTGCATTTAAACATAGAAGAATCCATGCATGATCGCATGTGATTGATGCACCCCTGTGGGTTGGTTTTGTCGGTAGACCTGACGAAAGCATTGATCAATATGGGACTTTACATTCCGTATGTGCAATATAGACGTGTTTCAAAGCGTTGTACACAACATTAAACTCTATTTGTTTTGCGGATAAATCAAAAGATTAGGCCGATTACCTCGAGACCTCCAGCAAAATTGAATGACCTGAGCAGCTGTTAAATATACACAGTGATCGGGTCTTCAATATTGAGAGCGACTGGACGAAAAAAAAGCTGAGATTCTACAGATCGTTTGTTTTAATATAGAATCAGGTTCGAAGGAAGGATATAGCGGTGCTTTGTCAATGCTTTTAAAACTGAAATCACTGAATGACTTTGAGAAAAGGTTGAGCATATTAATAAGTAGGCCTATCCTGCTGCAACACGTCAGTACAATTTGTAAGATAATTGTGACGATTGACTTACCTGCTTGGAATTTCTTTCAACACACGTATAGTTACGGAGGAAGTTCCTTCTCGTTCAGTAATCTGATCGAGTCGATCACGGCACAGTTTAACACGAAATTCGACCTGGAAGAGGTGAGTTACCTTCTTTGAACTTTACACCTTGACATTTGAACTTTTAAACCTCAGTATTCATTGCTGTTTTTCTGTTCTCATCATCCCCATTTATTTTACATACCACTCTTTTTCCCCCTTTCTTTTTGAAACATGGGAATTCTTTTTTGTGGCTTCAAATGTCTTAGACTCTACATTTGGAATCGAATGCGATGGTTAAATCTCTTTTATACCGAGGGTAAATGGATGGAAGTGCCAACAATAGGATGAACTAATGTACTCTGGAACTGTTCAATGACAATTCGTCCACAGCATATGTATTTTATGTTGCATTAAAGAAAAATGTATTGTATTTTGTACAGTAATGGACATGATACAAAGTATCAACATTATACTCTCACAAAATATTAGCCAAAGTGTATTAGAGATTTAACTGTGTACGTAGACTGTTCCATCAATCCTTTCATGGGGTTTCACTCGTCAAGTAGATATTACTTTTAGTACTTTTACATTTCCATTCATTTGTGTAGCGGATCGAGATCACGTAAAAGCCATCCATTTATCTTGGTTTCATACACATGGGTAACTTTATGTTTGTAGTGTTTTACGTTCGAGAATTCATTAGTTGGAAAATTGTCACATTGGGAGTCCCTCATTTAGTAGATAATAATATCTCATTCTGAACCCTTCCAAGTCCGTACACTTATACATATCGTATATACATGTAGTGCTGAATCATTTCATTATTTTGATCTCGTTATTCTACATTTCACCTCCCTGCAGTACCATATTCATCAAGTTGCTATCAATATTCAACATTTGTTGTGCTAAATGTCACTTCTCAAGTTAGGATACATATTTTAGTTTCACATATTTTGTGTTAAAAATAACTTTTCAAGCTACAAGATATTTGGAAATGAGGACGGTGGCATACGTCTCAGAGCACTTCACCTTGCATTCCTCATACCAAGATTTCCTGAGCCTTCTCGATTTCGTATTGTACACCATCTTTTTCGCCGACTGTGTTAATTATTCAGGTCCATTCATTTCTATTCAATTCAACTCAGTTATTATTCATCATGATTAAAAACATGAAATTCTATATCCCGTGTGCTAAAAATAGTGACACAAACCTTAAAATGACACGATTTAAGAAGTTTGAAGACTGAAAACCACAACAAATCAATCAAAAAACTTACAGTCAAATAAAAATATAAATACATAAATGATGCACCACACACCATCTCGTTTTAAAAAGTTACCTTTTAAATCTGGAATTACAAAGATGACACGAATTTGGCAAGAATGATCTCATAAGACACTGTGTATTTGTGCGTAGATACCAGATTCTGCCAGATTTCTGCACAATAACAGGTGATTATTAATTGGGTGGGTGGGGTCCTGTATATGAACTAGTCACTGTGTTAACTGTTATTCTATACGGTTTTTCTCTGCAGTTGATTGACTTTGGAGAAGGGAGGGAGTTCGGCTCGGCAACCCGTGCTTATAAGCAATCCTTGGAGAAGTGCCAGATTAACATCGACTGGATGCGCCTCAACGCCGAGGCAATTGAAATGTGGATGCAAGACAATTAAGTTGGAAACAAGACAATTTTGTGACGAGAGACCTCAGTAAAGCAGGCACGGTCACGTGTGCACATATTGAAAGTGATGTGATCGTTTGGAACAAATCATTCAAACTCTGATTGGGATTTGATTGGCACAACAGCAATGACTTGAATGAATTGATTTATGCCCAAGTACATACCAACTGCAGCCGTTAAAGCCTATCAAATAAAATCATTCAAATTTGGAATTGGCATTTTTAGAAATCTGAACGCCCTTTACACTACAGCATCGAGAGGTGTATATAGCATAAGATGAATTCCCCGCAGAGAGCATAAACAACGTAATGGTAACTTTTATATGTGTAGATGTAGCCCATAAATATCTGTCTCTGACAACTCTAATTATTGTAGGACTGTAAAGAAACACGGTCAGTATTAACCAACACGTTCGAATCCTAAGTTGTATGACCAACATATCCTGTTGAATCTATACACAGGCCTATACTTTAGCTATTGTGAATATTAGGCCATTTCTGTAAGCTTTTGATTACAGGTGGGGGACTCTTGAAATAATTTGTTTCAAATTTAAAAAAAATCGTCGAAATCGATTACAGTACGATCTAGGAATATATGTTAGAAGATGCAGAATATTAGCAATAGGATTCCGAGAGAATATCGTAGTACGTATATAGCGTTTTTAATGACTGCATGTTTGCGTAGGCCTATACCATAACTGCATTGAACCTAGACATGTTCAATAATCCATCCGCACATTTCTCAAACTCATTTTTCACAATTTGGTTATTTTGACGTATACGCGTATCGCATTTAGAGCCAATAGTTGTTTCATGTTATTCAAAGCCTTATTTTTTAGGAATAAAGAGTCTGCGCTCGCCTTTAATTGTTTTTTTTTTCATCGGTAAAATAAAAGACATTTGTAAGAATTAAACTTGATCATTGCATATCGAATATAGTTCTCGTTGCACTTTGCGCAACTTTTAGATATAGCTAACTTTTTTATAGAATGAATACTAGTATTTTTGTTTCTGTTGCAAGTAGGTCTTCGTTACTCTTGTGTGACATTAGCTTGACACCATATGCCCCTTACAGTATTAATGTACCACTTGTGTGTTGATACAATATCTTTAATACGTGACACGAATAGAACATGTAATTTTATGTATGTGTACTAAAACGATGCATTTTGTACTCTGTGATGATGATATCCAAATGTGAATTATAAATGTATTCGAATTTAATTGTTCAGTACTTCGAATAAGTGTATGATGTCTTCTCTTTGTATTATGATGATTGGAATAAGAATGCTTAGTACTTTGTGATTCTCTCAAAAAAATATTCTAAAGAATAAGGAAACAGGAAATAATATTTTCCGTTCGAGAAAAAAACTTGACATATTAAACCTCTTGCAAGAACAGTGATTCTGCGGTTGTTAATTTCAATGAACCTGTACGAAAGACGATAAATGTGTGACTGTCAAGAACAGCATATAAGCAACAAAGCCGATTAAAGTATATCTTTTTAGAGATTTAGCTCGTTGTGAATTTATTCACCCCTTTTATTTCAATTTTTTTAGCACTGTAATCACGAACGCGCAACCAAGCGGGTAGAAAACGAAAACCTAAAAGCCTTAAGAATATTTCCCCCTTTATTTGCACTTTTTAGAAATATCAACCATGCCGTTGTGCACAATGATAAATAAAGATTTGACCGGACAGTTTCCATATGGAAGGCACCATCACTATACAATCTGACTTCCAACCTTTCGACTTTTCTCCTAGTTCTGGTGCAAGACGTTCCGGGCGGGGTGGTTAACATACGGAACCAGTATAAATGTCCACGCTTACATGCACCAACCTGACCCGGTCGACGACCGGACGCAACGAACTTTGCGGGCTGTTGGCGCGTGGGTTTGTAAGGGCGCCCGCCAAATTTTTTTTTTACCAAACAACATCTGCATAACATGGTTGTTGAGCGCACTCTGCGATACTTTAATGATACGTGCGCAGGTCTATATTACCATGCATTTCCAGGATTTAGCGAGTAGTGCGATATCTCAGTTGGTTAGGGTCACGATTTTGTACCGCGAGGGATCCTCGCGGAACGGGTTCGAATTGCCGTTTTGTAACCGAATTTATTTTATTTTCTTAAAGTCCAAACGCCATAGCGTACACCCCATGCGGATGTCGCTTCGGGGAAAAAAATCGCCGCCCGCTTCGGTGAAACACTCGTTGTACATTTCAATAACCCGTGCGCGCTGAAACGTCGCACCGCTGAGGACGTCTTGGAACCAATACTACCATTCACCCTAATTTCCCGATCTTCTCCTACGGTGATGCTATCCCACCCCACTCCACCCCACCCCACCCACCCACTTTCAAAAAAGACACTTTCCCTTAAATCCTGCTTACATGGCTTTGACTGAATCCGTTTATGTTCTTGAGAGAAAGTCTTAATCATTAGTTTTCTTGCAGTTGGACGGGTAAAGAGTAAAGTGTGATTGTTGCTTAACTTGGAATTTCTCTTCAAAATCTACAGCTATGGCAGAGGTCCCTTTGCGTTACGTATTGTGTTGCGTTCAATCACACAATACTGTAACACGGAATTCGAACTGAGACAGGTGAGTGACCTTTGAGATTTGAGTGACCTTTGACCTTTGACCTTTTGGCCCCTGCTGCTGTACTGTGTCAGTTTAGATCATCGTCAATATAACAATTGTCTTAATTGTGTGACTAACTATTTTGAATCCAAATAAGGTAACTTTGTATTATTTTTTTTTCGCAATGCTAATAACCTGTGCAGCATTTTGTCAAATAAAAGTTTTAACTGTGTTGCAATATTACCTGTATTTGTGTTGCTTCATTAAATTAGTACCGTGCGCTGTAATCAGTATTAACAATAAAATGTGCGCAGAATTATAACCGATTATTAAATTTGAGCAGCATGTCGCATGCATGATCATTGTATCTTATCGTACACTGAGAATAGCCAACCAGCACTGCTATCTTTGATAACATGCTCTCATTCGCAATCAAATTGTGTTCAATTCCGCATTGAGTAGATCTTTAATCATTTAGGCCTATAATAATATTGGCTATTATACTAACAGCAGTATCTACACCAGTTTCTATTTCGTTGTATCTGTAACAATTTATTCCTCCTTGCTTCCTTTTATCTTTCCAATTTCATGTCGCATGGTATATTTGTGATGGGAGATGTGCAACCCAATGTCTGGAGTTAACTTTCAGGAAATGACAATAAAAACAATAATTATTCTGCAATACTTTTTCTGTTATACCAAATTAAGACTTACAGTTGGCAAATTAAGATATAAAACGGGAACTTCGCTTCTGTATTATACTTAATTAATAACCCCTTTTTATATATGCTTTTTGCTAAGTAACTTCTTGTTTCGTTCTAAAGTTTATACCTGATGTCTGATTCCATTTTTTTTTTTTAATTCACGACAGCTGGAAAGTTTTGAAGAGGGAAAAACCTTCGGCTCCGCGACCCGGGCATTCAGGCAGATTCAGGAGAAATGCCAGACCAACATTGATTGGATGGAGCGTAACTCGGAGAGTATCGAACAATGGTTTAGAGACAATGGGGATTAATGCACAAGACGCGTGGTTAAGACAACCCGATCAAATCTAATAATGACGGGGTAAAAAAAGCCTTCTGAAATTTCCCATTTCAAGCTAAACCTATCCACAGAAAGAGTAACTTTCATTGACATATGTTTCTACCGATTATACCATTTTAAGAGCACGATGGTGCTTATTAATGGCTCCGCAATTTCCCCTGTTGTTTCATACAAGTGTGATATTTAAACATTGTTTGGTATGATATACACCCTCGTCTTAATGACATCCCTGACGATCTGGACTCTTTATACTGAGTCAAATTGATACGTTTATTAATCTTCCTTGGGACGACTACAGGGTCAGTCAAAAGAAGCGGAACCCAAATCCCCAACATTATATTTCATATTTAAAAAAATATGTATCACCAAACATAATAATGACTAAAAAGCCAATGTCATAAGCTACTTTTAGATGAAAAAAAAATTACTGAAATTGCTCAATCCGTTCAAAGAATATCACTATTTAAATGCAATGATCTAAAACCTGTTTCGTCCACACTAAAAACAACAATTTATTGTGTATTCTTACTGTTTGGAAAAACAAAGAAAATGACACAGAATACTTGTTTCAACAACTGTCAATGACTATAGTACACAATATATTTATTAACGTCCCTGGTTAGGCAAACAATATGGTTCATAAAATCCATTCATTTTTTTTAAAGACGGGCCTTCAAAAGGACTTTGTTGAATATTTCTAACCTTTAAATGTTTTATCGATGGTGATGTTTGAAGACAATTGTGACGACGATTCTTGAAATCGCATTTTTCGACGAAAGGTTTTTTTGGGTCATTATGGTTAAATGGTGATATTCTTTGAACGGTTTGAGCAATTTCAGTATATTTTTTCATCTAAAGTAGCATATAAATTTGGCTTTCCAGTCATTATTTTTTTGGTGCTAAAGATTTTTTTTTTAATATGAAAAGTATTTTTGGGGTTTGGGTTCCGCGTTTTTTGACTCACCCTGTATCTTACGTAACCTAAAAGCAACCTATCAATTTTTACTTAAACAATGAGATGTTTTATTGTTATTTTGAAGAAGGTACTAATGTTACTGTTTTTAACACAGTGAAGGCATTTCGTCAGTACGACAGTTATAAGGAATAACATTACAAAAAAATAGAGATTGTGTGGTTTCACATGGACAACTGATATCAACGGAAGTTTCCATGGTAAACAGTAGAGAAGATTATATATTGTAATTGAAATATAAAATATGGGTCTATGTAATGTATAAAGAATACAATTACCTTATTGTGAAAGAGTGTTTAGTACACAGTGCCAAATAGTGTTTAGAATCACTCTGTCCAGGAGCTTAATATTTTCCTTGAGGTGGGTAAGGAATTTAAGAGATAGGCCTACGACTAAACTTTTCCTTGATTTTTACTCCGCTCTGGAAATGAGAAGTACTGATTATTTGATTTTGTTAATTAATTGCTTTTTACATGAATTTTTTTTCCTGACAAATTTATATTAAGAAATTAATGTAAACAGATTTTGTAGAATTTGTTTATGAAGCAATGTTAATATTTCTTACAAAGCAATATTTGCTTCATATAGGTGAATGCTTCAAAGAAATAGTCTACCTTATGCCTACAGTTATATACAATGGATTTATAATTATTGGTTTTGTCAAATTATTCTCTTGCAGGATGGAAATGGATTGTACTGGTGAAATAGAGCACTAACGTCCAGGATATGTTTTCCGGAATGTGACTTAATGTACCATTACTCCCCCCCCCCCCACCACCAAAAAAAAAAGCTACAACATTCTTAATATGACAAGTTGGCATCTTGAGTTAAAAGCACGATTTTAAAATATGACTGCATGTTTGCATGAATGAAGATTCAATAAAGGCAATAGACCTAGGACCTAATGACGTAATGGCTTTGTTTACATATGCGTTTTACAATGGGAGCGAAGTCGGGACGCCAGACGAAGTAGGGACCGTCTATACCACGTAGGAGGAGAGCGCATATCACTGAATCACGTAAACAAAGCGTGACGTCATTATGTCTCAAGCAGTTGTAAAGCTGGATTTCACTTGATGCTCGTTCCGTTCTTTGCCCCAAAGGCAAAACCAAAACTGCTGCAACGTTTCCATGTCAGTTATGTAATCAGTTAAGTCATGTTTCTTTGTTTCCGGTTCGTTAGTAAAAACGTCATACACGCGCGCCCACCACTGATTACTAGCGCCCATTGGATTAACACTCAAGTTGCGTTAACTTCCGGTTCCAATGATTCCAATGCTACTTACTGGCCAGTGGGCGTGGTTTAAACTGAACTGACGTCACACTAACGATAGGCCTACTGCGCCCATGCTTCAGTATAAACCAATCAAAACATCATATTATGATCAAGTGCATGGCTAATTAAGGAAACCATTTTAACCAATATACTACCTAATCCCTAGACTTGTTCAGACTAAAAATAAAATTATATACATACATCGATATCGGATATACAATCCATCCTAAACCCCAACCGGTTCAAACCAAAAATATCCCTACCCTCTCCGGAAACATCTCTTCGCTGGTAGTAAACGACCAAGAGCATGACAGCATGTGAATCGTTCGTTCGATGGCGACTTCGTTTGTTTTTTTTGCATGAGACAGCCACCGCCTGAGACTTGAGAAGTAAGGTAAGTCCAAGGAATGATTCATAATAAACCAAATGATTTGGGATAAATCAAATCGCAGTTATCCATTCTTTGTATTGCAACTGAGCATGCGCTCACAAAGTTTGACAATCTTTTCATCAGGATAAGCACAGCCGTAAAAGTACAATCTTTACGGGCATTCCAAACCAAATCTTCTATACGCATTTTTTTTCACGCACTCAAAAAGGAGAGTCTGCACAGCGGCGTACATGTAAATGGCGTTCAGCATTTGGGTGAAGAAAAAAATGAAGGAACTTTTATTTTATTTATAAAAAGGAGGGGAAAGGGGGAAAAAGTGTTCTTCTCCATGCAAAAATAAGGCCCTTAACCCCCCCCCCCCCTGCAAACTGAACCGCACTTACACCACCGTCGAAATGAAACACATTTTTCACCAGAACTTTACTAATGCGCATTTTGTTTGTTGCAGCCACACGCTCTTTTGTCCACAACAATCCAAGTACAATGCAAAGGGATATAATGCTTGTCTTCCTTTACCTATAGATACAATTTGGATCAACGTTTCCCGGACATTCTACGAGCTCTGGCGCAGCACTGCAATACAGACTATGATATCACAGAGGTAAGACAAAAACATTGAGGATATATTTCTATACCTTCGCGCCTACAGATTTGACCGATTGTGTTTTTGTATAATTTTTAATTTCCAGAAGATCTCAACTATTTACTTTGATATTGCACTCCTTTATACCTTCTTATACAAATTTAATTGTTCAAGACCAAGTTTAATTTTTTAACCTACATAATTCTTAATTATACACATCCCTACTGTGCAAGCATACAATTGCCTGGGTCAATTTTACCCAAGAAAGGGTGAAAACTGGAACTACCCAAACTTGGGTTGTTCTATAACCAATTGTTTGGGTTAGAATTTCTGCTAAATTCAACCAAAACTAGTGGTCATTCAAGACCAAATTTAATTTGGTCTTGTATGACAGATGTTTTTCGTAACTATACACGTCCACACTATAAACACGTGTGTGTGTGTCACTTTTCTCAAGAAATAGCCCTATACTGAAACTTTATTGCAGCGATATGTTGTGCTCTGTGGAATAACTACGGGGCGGGGGGGGGGGGCACGGGGGCACACCCCCCCCCCCCCCGAAAAAAATAGATGAATGTGCTCCCCGGGTGCCCCCCCCCCTTCCATTTGAAATCCTGACTGGAACAAAAGTGTATATCACTTCAGATGCCCCTTGAAAAGTTGTGCACCCATGCCCCCTCAGAATTGTAACCTATAGTTACGCCACTGGTTGTGCTCCATTAAATTGGGAAAACTGTCATATTACTTTTCATCAGGAAGTTAATACAAATAGTAAACTTAAATTTGTTGATTGAGAAGAAATGCTTCGGTTTTTGTTTCTAATTAATGCATACATGTGTAATATTTCAAACAGAAAGGGATGTACCTGCGTGTTGAATACACTGCCTACCGGGTTTTTTGCGAAAAGTTTATTCAAGCCATTCAATTTTTTTCATTCATCATTTGTTTTCAGATACGCAGTTTCTACAAGAAGCAGAAGAAGGTCTCCTCCGTGAAGAAAGCAGTTGATATGAGCATTGATCGGACGCAGGCTAACATCCGATGGATGAACGAGAACGCTGAGTCTGTTCGGATATGGTTCATGAATGCCATGAAACAAGATCGACGTTAGGGAACAAAGTCAAGCCAGGATCCATTTCTACGTTTGACTAATAAAGTTGTAAATACTGAACAAAGCAATCGACAGTTTCTTGTGATGATGTTGAAAAAAAATATGAACAGCTGTTAACTTCACAAAGTTTTCCCGACACATATTTTTCTTGTTGTTTTACAGAGTTCTATGATGATGTGTGAGCTTATAAGTAGCAAAAGAAACAAATCATTCAGCATGTTTCTTTTTAAAAAAATGTAATATTAGCTGTCAAATATAGCGAGATTACAAAAACTTGTGGAAAAGAATGACTTTGGCCATTGTTTGGTTTGATGGATCGTTGAATAGTGTTTGATGGGAGAAAAAGCAGTATAAACTTACTAAGTTTCTTACTATTTTACTGAAAAATATCACGCCATTTACTACCTTATTTGTCATCGTGTATAAATATAAATAGAAGTAACGATAATGCAAATGTAAACGTCACTTTGACGTCAAGTTTAAAGTTAAACGGATTTGTTACGTGTAGACCTTTTGTAGTGTATATCGTTTTCAAGACTGCATGTGAGAAGAATAACTACTAAAGAATCAAGTAATATAATACACAGTTATGAGTTTGATTGTTTAACTATCAGTAACTTTTATGGCACCTAATTCTACCCAATACTAGCAACACGTTGTTAGGTTTATGGCTTCAGACTAGCGCCCCTTGAACAAAGACAATGGCAAAATGGGAACCGCCAACATAGGGCTGGATAGCTCAGTTGGTAGAGCACTGGAACGGCAATCCGGAGGTCGCAAGTTCAAACCCCGCTCAGTCAATTTCCTTGTTCAACAAAAAATATTATAAAGCACCTAGTCAGTTTCCATATTTTGTGTTTTGTTTGAAAACACAATATTTATGACAACTACTTATCAGCACAATTTTGTAACATGCCACCAAGCACATACATGTTATTAATAACCATATAATAATGCAGGCCTGCATAAGAACAGCGTGCATGTCACCTTAAGCTATAACTCAGTCATTTTCGTAAAAACATTAACATATACTATGTGGTATTGTGTTGTATTTTAGTCGAAAAAGTTCGAGTTTGGTTGTTCAGGAAAACACATTGAGGGCGCACTGTGATGTTCGATCAAGATAAAGAACCGTCAGAGTTGCGGCAGTGGTGTCCACAGGGCCGGACACAAAATGGATGCTATATCTGTTGATATAGTCAATGAAATGATACGTTAAATCAATTTTATGTTGAGAGGGGGTAAGTTGTCCCAAAATCAATATCTCTGCCATACCGTGCCACAAAAATAAAACGTACGTTACAATTGACAATTGTATGTGCAATATTAAAAGATGAAATATACAGCCAGCGTTGAAAACAGGTATTGGCTGGGGTAAATTGTTTGACAAATTAAGTCTTGACTTGTCCTAACTTTTGTCATCGAACGTTTGAAATGAAAAACTCGCCTATCAACTTTCGTGGATGGGGTGCTATTCCGGCGTTCTGTCGTCTGTTTTAATTCAGAAATTGCTACTTTATTTTGAAAAATAGCACTTTCATAATGCGGAAGAATTATACAGTTGGATGATAAAACATTTATGCAAAATGTATATAAATCCGAATTCAGTGACAATAGCCCCACCCAAATAACACCCATCGATTCCCCCCCCCCCCCTCCCCCCTCAATCTAGAGTTACTCATCAGTAGCACAGATACATGAGTGTTGTTGATAACGTCGGGAGAAGATATGAAAACACGTGCATCTCTGCCACCTGAATCAGTTATCAAACAATGAAAGACAGGTGTATAGCAACAGTTATAAATACCCTTTATACCGCATGCCATCACCAGGCCTTGCCATACCACCCTCTGTATCCATTTTGTAAATAATCAATTTGTAACAGTAAGTGTACCCTATGTGCTCACATTAAAGTACCATTGCGTATTGTGTATGATTTGGTACCCCAAAAAATAGTCATTTTTTCCCGATCTGCTTTCATGTTACTGTTATGGAGTGGGCGAAAAACTGTCTGTACGGACCTTATTGATCCTGACTCTGGCTAATTACTGATAACATCAAACTCCCGATTTGATGTAGTACGCATACGACAGCAACATTAATGACCTCGCCTACTGACCTTCTACCCAGTCAGGTAAATGACAGTTTCAAAGACGAATCCGCGTACGTGATCCCTGTATCCGACGCACCCTTCAAAAAACAAAACAAAACTGTGCAAAGCTAATGCCCCGTGACGGATTATCTGAACAATATTATAGCTAGCACAATGCATTCGCCACTTATAACGGGCCTTCATGCCTAACTGCACAGCTAGCGGGCCCGGCCTTCGTAATAGAACTGCACAGCGTGCCCGCATTGGTCTATTCCAAAACTCAGTACAATTTAACCGATTTCTCGGATTTTTTTCCCTTGATACCGATTTTCCTTGATGTTTATGAGTTCTCACAAATGTTGCCAGAAACAAGAATCCGATTTGTGGATGTGATTCGGCTAGCCACATTGCACTTGAAATTGTATACATGTAAATGAAACGGCACTGTTTGGTGAAAGGGGACACGCCCAACATCACTGACACAAGTGTTTCCTCAGCCATGTCTCATGAGATTGCAGACCCGTGACCGCACGTACTAAAGGCCTCAAGACTCAGTAATGTGCAGTGACGGATCCCCTTCGCTACTGACAATGTTAATTATACATGTAATAAAAATAATGGCCAAATATTCAAAAATTCCCTTCAGTTCTTTCAATAACTGTGATATGTGATTGTGGCCTTACTTTTATGACGTTACTTGCTGTATAAATTAGGTTAAACTTTAACACATTTAATACAACCCCGTGAGCAGAGTTTCCATTATCTACCTTTTTGATAATGCCCACACGCTGATCCGTTATGTCAACTTAGTAAGATATCATAAAGTGCGTAATAAAGTGTATTAATAAATACCTTGGAGAGTTGATGGTTTCTGATTGGTCGAGACTCGATCACGTGGCCAGTCATTAACGGTGATAATGGACCGGCTTCAAAGATCAAGCGAATAAATGGCCCCTGAACCAGTATAGACCGCTTGCAGACGCGTTCGATAATTGACGCGCTAAGGTGAGCGACGCCATGTTATGGGACAAAATGTGCGTGAATTGATATACGCCTGTCCCACAACATGGCGTCGCGCGCCTTCGCGCGTCGATTATCGAACGCGTCTGCAAGCGGTCTATTGATCAAGCCCCGTTCAGCCCCATGCAAGCCAATGATTGGTCAAAATATAGTAACAGTCCTGCGGTAGCTTTTAACAATTGAGCACTGCACATGCACTCAACCCCCATCGCGTGAGACTGACGCGCGCGTACGCAACACAGTTGCTAGGGATGCGTGCGTGCGCGTGCGTAAGGAAGTTTTGAAACGACATCGTGCAGTATACATGTATATACCTACTGAGGATGTTTACGACGAAAGCGTAGATCTACGATTTATTTTCTTTGAAACACTTCACCCGCCGACATATTTACCTTTCCTAAACCAAACATCTCTGTAATTCCGGACACAAGAATGTGTAAACGAGATTTCAGCTTCCTCCATCAGGTAAAGATATGAAAACATTCTTGTAATTTGTTTCGCTACGGCAGCAGTTTCTGTTGAGTTTACGTCGTTATAGCTGTTAAGCTAAAATATGGCCCATGAACATGAACACAAAAAAAGTCTGGAAATATCGCCGGAAAAAAAGTCACAAAATTGGAGCATTTTAACTGTTTATTTCGTTATAAAGGTATTTATTAATGGGAATAACAGTGTGAGGAGCCGGTCTTCACTGCGTGATAATGACCGGGTGTGGGGGTGACCGCTGTTAATGGACCTCGACTTCGTCTCGGTCCATTAACAGCGGTCACCCCCAAACCCGGTCATTATCACGCAGTGAAGACCGGCTCCTCACACTGTTATTCCCGTATTAAAATGTCCAGCCTAATATTTTCTTCGCTTCGACCTTGTTTTATTCTTTCATATTCAAACCATTTACATGCAATTATCATTACAAAAGGAAGGCCCCGCAGCCAAACTAGTAAAGCAAATCTGTAACTGCAAAGATTCATGTTTGTAAAACTAGATTCGGAGGTCAAATTTGTCCAACGTATGATTAGAAAAACAACCTCCCGATAGCTGGCTCCATATGCATGAGATGGTTGAGTTTGTTCAAAACCACGTGATTTAATCGGATAAAGGCGTTGGGTGCATGGTATAAAACTATAGCGGCCACCTGTGATAACGAAACTGCGTCATCATTGGGACAGGCACCACGTACTCCTCTGGTTCTACTTGTGCTCACGGTAAGTACACGAATTGTTCAGTAACTTGGGGTAAAAAGAATGCAAGAAGCGGTAGAAAAGGCATGAACAGGTGGCTGTATTGTAACGGCCTATGCATTAACTTTTGGATTCCGAGAGCGATAACTTAAGTTCTTACACGCGATAGAACGATCATACTTGCGGGAACAGTACTATACAAGTTCCTCTTTTTTTTACTAAAAATTGCCAGTGGCCTTCAAATGATTCTGCAGATGCGAAAAGCATTGCCTTAAAAGAGGTATAGCGGTTGTACATTGGTTACGGTGGATATACAATAGGGTAGGCAGCTCGAGTGGAGGAATAAGTCAATTTGTTGCAGTCAAGATTTTTGAACACGTCGCATAATTCTGGTACGTACAAACAACATCTGGTTGAAGTCCCATTTTTGAGACCAACGATTTATTTGTGAACTAAATCGACAATGCAAGTGAACAGGATATGAAACGATTACGATCCTGGCCACGACGCCAAAGTACTCCGAGGGGAACACGAGGGAGGTCTGCAAGAAGTCCGGGGAAAATTAATCACATCAAAACAGTTGGGATCAGGTTTTCATCATACTCCAATTTGTTCGTACAAGACTACAATTACTGTGACAATCCGTAATCAATTGGGATAACTTTACGAGTTCCTAATAATAGCTGTCAGTTCACGGTCACAGCGGTATATATAGCTAGACCAACGCTCATGAAAAGTAAAACGATCCATATTATGTTTCATTCTGTACTTTATTAGTTCAAATGATAGATTTGACATGAAAACTGTGTTACAACATGGGATCAAGTAACCCTAGGTAGGCTTGGTTCAAAGAAGGCTGGAATATAGCGAAACCCTTTAATACAAAGAGGGGTCGTTAACTTTATCAGAAAATTAGAATATTAACGAAAGTTGGGTCTAGAGACGGTACAGCTTCAAATTCACTACCGGTACACAATCGGTCTAGCGGATGGCGGGGAAAATGTTTACAGCAAGGAGAAATCTGTTGGGATTGTCTGGCACAGTCGGTAAATCGTCAGGGGGGAGAGGAGGGGGGTGGCTGGGGGTTAAACCGAATTAGAGCAGCATGTATGTTCTCGTCATTTAGGTGTCTCAGGAAATTTCGGCAATATTGGAGTGTAGTGTGGAAATGTAACGATATAGTCTTGTGTGTATGGCGGTCAGTGCACTCTTTTCCCTCTCTGCATCTAATACATGGATACTGATGCTGTCTTGAAAGTTTAGTTTACCGCGACTACGTTTGACTTTGAGTTCCTTTATACTAAGGGGCCATTCAGAATTTTCAATGTTTTAAAATTTCGACTTTTTTTCCAAATTATTTTGACCCACCCACCCACCCCTAATTTCGATTAATAAAAAACTGAACATGTACATGTACATGCACTTGCATGTACATGTACTTGAACACCATGTACATGTGTGTCTAGTTCAGTGACGGCGTGAAGTTGTCGGTCTGGTGACTGCTCTATGTTCCGACACCCCTATGTTCCGACAACCTAGATTGTGTTACTCCCGGTTAGGGTTAGGGTGAGGGTTAGGGTTAGGGTTAGGTTTAGGAATAGGAATATGTGCAGTCGGAACATAGGGGTGTCGGAACATAGAGGTGAAACCGTCGGTCTTCCTCTTTTGCACTGGTGACCTTCAGTTTTCTTGTGTTTTGCCAGCTGATATGCTGTTGGGAATGACAGGTTGCAGTTTTGGAAGCCACAAAGATGACCGTGGTTTTGTCGTTTTCTGGATGAGGTGGATGACATGTGATATACGAGGTTGTGCCTGTCACGTGAGGTAGCTGAGAAAAACATTCGCTCGTACCCCCCCCCCCCCCGCCCTGTTTGCAGGGCGGGGGTACGAGCGAAAGAAAACATCAGGTTTGGGCAGACATCACATCACAGGCTGCGGTCCTCGTAGTCTTGGAGCCCGGTGGTTGAATAGTCCAGTTTGTATAGCGATTGGATACACGTAGACCTACATGACCTACATGTACATGTACAGTACACAGTGGCGTAGCCACGGGGGGGGGGGGAGGCGTGGGGGGGGGGCGACAGCCCCCCCATGAAACCTTGTCGCCCCCCAGTCGCCCCCCCCCCCCCCACCCACTGAGATTTTGAGTTTCTAAAAAAATTATCATTGATCTACATGACGCCCCCATGAAATGTTCCAGCCCCCCAGCGCCCCGGGTATTTTGTTCCCTGGTATTTTCTTGTTGTTTCTTTAGTGTGTGTATTTAATGTGAGTGTAGACCTATGTATGTCAACTAGGTTGTTTGTTTTTATGGTTTGCATTTTTCTTTCTGGGGCTTTAAAAATAACATCTTCATGGATTCCCAGCACAACTCCTCACAATAAGTCCAGTGTTAACAATATTTCTCGTTGTGGGTCTGAAAATGAAATTTTCGGTTTGTGTATTATGAATATGATCAAGTGAAATTATTTATGCAGTATTTTGCCCATTTCCCTCAAAATTGCATATTGTAATATTGTACATTTTTATCAATTTGCTAGAATATGTGATACCTCACCAACAAGTATCTTTCTTTTAAATTCAATCAGAATATTTATCAATTTGTTAAAAAAAAATTAGTTGTTGTGTTACTTGTTGGTGTCCCTGCCACACTGTACGATGGTGTAGCCGTGCGTTATGCATATGCACGGATTGTTTACTTTCGTTTTGACGGGGTTTTTACTGAATAGAGTCTGGTGACTGTACATAGAAATTTTTTTGAATAAAAGTCGAATCGTTCATTCATGTGCACTTGTTATGCAAAGCAGGGGCAGTGGTTCAAGGATATCTATGTCGACGTGCAGAAAGTGTGCAAGAACGCGAGTTGAATTCTTTTATGTGTTCACAATACAACGACGCTGTTTAGTTATTTCACTGTGTGACACAGTGAGAAATTTTGGAATCATAATGGCGTCAGCGATACTTGCTGGGGAGCTCTTGCGTACGACTTTCTGTACTTTGGTACTGTTGTTTCCAGGACAATTGTGTGTACGGTAACCCGACGTACCCAGATTTTTAAAGACGAAATTGCAGACCTCAAACTTGTTAGTGCCATATTTGGCAACTATATGTGCGTTATTAATTTAATTAAACAAATGAACAGGTTAATTAAACACAGTACCATTGAAGGTACCTAAAAGTAAACATAACAGCATAGAAGACCGACAGACGAACATGAAATGTTACAGAATAAACATATTTGTCTGGATAATTTTTTAGGGCGTTACCGGCAAGTTAACACAAACTTGGTGTCAAATAGATCATGGGAGTTACTTTTCTTTGACTTTTCATACAAGTTTACATAAACTTTAACTGTATGACCTGCAGTGGCGAAGCCACGGGGGGGGGGGGGGGGCGCGTGGGGGGCGACAGCCCCCCCCCCCCATGAAACCTTGTCGCCCCCCCCCAAGTCGCCTCCCCCACTGAGATTTTGAGTTTCTAAAAAAAATTATTATTGATCTACATGACGCCCCCCCCCCCCATGAAATGTTCCAGCCCCCCCCCCCCCCCTGAAAAATTTCTGGCTACGCCACTGACAGTACATACAGGGGACGAAGTTGGAAAAGAAACACGCATCGCGATTTCGGAACGCTTGCGCGTAGTTCAGGCAAGTCAAAAGATCTATCTTTCTTTGTTTTTTTTAATCTTTTTTCCATGGAAAGTGAATTTCGATTTTCAATTATTTAGCCTGACCCACTCACCCACAATTTGGAAAAAAAAGATCGAAATTTTAAAACATTGAAATTTCTGCGTTTCTGAATGGCCCCTAATTGGGCGGCTAGGACCAAAGTAAAATGTCTCAGACTTCGACTTCCCAAATGAAACACATTACCTTCACATGCTATTTACTCATATCTGATATAAACACACAGATTGCAAATAAAATTAATCATTCTCAAATACATGCGGTATTGTTATTGCACTGCGTTATTGCACTGAGAGACAAGTTGTAAATTAAGTTAAGCGCACTGAAGAAAATACTTTTCAATTAAACCTTCGCGGTTCGTGCATATGCATGCCACCATTACGGGACAATACCTGCTGAACTCGGCCTTGGGGGCCGAAGTCGACAGTAATTCATACCAAAATCCGTCAGATCAAAATGTCATGCATTCATTTTTATGGCCTCTAACTATTGCCTTGTAAGTCAAATATTCTTTGTTAATTCAAGGCCATTCCATACACACACGCGTATAGTGAACATATGACAGGCATAATGTCCGTATTTATTCAGACCCTACTTTTTGAAGTGATTCGAACCTTGGAACGAAGACAGACGGGATGAAAATATCCTGCAGCATTCATTCGACGTAAACAATCTAAATCCTACAAACTGGAAGAAAAGAGAGACCCGGCTCAATGATTTCGTGTCAATGATTTCGTGTTAAACATCAAATCCAAACAAACCTTGAAAAAAACATCAGTTCAAGTTGGAGGTCAAGTCAAACTTAATCTGAGCTACGGAATGAAACAACAAACATACCAAACCAAAGACTGTTCTCAACGGGCGAAGAGCCTCAGGCGTTTAAGAAAATGTGAAAGGGTCGTTCCGATTGATCCATGTTGGGGATTGTCATCTCTTTTTTGTCTTGTAGAGCACTTTTGAAGGATACCAACATGGGGCGTAGCGAGTTCAACTTGGAAGAAGAGCCCGGTCGTAAAGGGAACGGTATCTACTGCAGTCCGGCCGTTCTCGTCTTCACCGTTCTTACCGTGTGCGTGTTGATTGCAGCCACAGCGCTCATGACGTACTACATCCCTCTGTCCCTCAAGGACGACGGCGTTGCAACCAAAGCACCTGCAGTCCAGTTACCATCGACGACTAAAGCGATGATGGCCCCGACTGATGCTCCAATGGTCCCGACTGATGCTCCAATGGTCCCGACTGATGCTCCAATGGTCCCGACTGATGCTCCAACTAATAAGCCCATGGCTACTGCCAAACCGACCACCATGCCACCTTCGGCTCTCATGCGAGGCCGGCTACCAAAGACGGTCCTGCCTCGCCGGTATGAAGTCAACCTGCGACCGTTCCTATATGACGATGATGTTCCCGACTCCAAAATGGGAGAGAGGTTCACCTTCGATGGTTGGGTGCGGATTAAAGTCGAATGCATCGAACCGACGGATGAGATTACTCTGCACTCCAAGAATATCACCGTCCATGGCATGCCTACCGTCCTTAGTGTCAGCACCCTAGACAAGACCGATCTCTTCGAGAGCTATAAGATGGTGGAGGAATACGCGTTCATGATCCTGAAGTTGAAACAAATGATGAAGCCACACCAGGAATATGACATCTACATGCAGCACTCAGGAATTCTCGGGGATGACGAAGCAGGATTCTACCCTAGCATGTATCTGGATTCCGTCAATACTACAAGGTAATAATGAAGATTAGACCTTACGTTTGTTTAGTTTAAAAAATAACTGAAGTGGCGTTAGAACATGTGACGTGAAATACCATCGCGGCGTTTTACCTTAGTAGCTTAACATGGCGATCCAACGACTAACTGACTGACTGACTGTCTGAAATGCGACCCAAAACCCCAAACTGACCCCAATCAACCTATTGGCTACTGTCAGTTGCTCAACCAACTGACCATAGACTGAGAGGCTCAACCGGGGATCATTTTACGGGATCCTCGTTTTCTGGAGGGAGCACTCAGTGGTAAAAAAGACGCGTCATTTTTGCTTTAATTCGGAGCGGGCGGCGGCACCCAGGGGCACAGGCCTCCACAGTGATCACCCATTGATTAAATCCACCACTACGTTAAACATTCTCACCAATCAAATGATGCAGACAATGAATGAAAAGCTTTCTTTCTACATTTGTTTTTAGATACATCGCAACGACTCAGATGGAAGGGCCGTTCGCACGACGCGTATTTCCGTGTTTTGATGAGCCTACCTTCAAAGCTTCCTACGACGTTCAACTGGAACATCGTAACGATATGCAGGCGCTTTCTAACGGCATTGAGACGAAGCACATCCGACTGGATGGACACTGGTCGAGGACTTACTTCGAACGAGTCCCGTCGGTGCCCACCTACCTGCTGGCTTTTATAGTACATGACTATTCTTCCATCAATGTCACAAACGCCAATGGATGTTTGGTAAGGACGTTTCTGTATTTTTTTTTTTTTGGCTTTAAATTATCACCTTAATCACAGTAAAAAATCAATCTTGGTTCAATTTCAAGCAGCGTAAGGTTAAACAAGAAAAATTGACTTAAACTTGCAACCAGAATCTTTGATAAATTCTGTCGGGCAAAATTGCACAAAATGCGGTGTACAGTTAACACCGCTGGTATCTATAATTACCAGTGCTGTAAATGAGTTTCACCTGTTGTCTCATAAATAATGTACACTGGTATTGATAACAATGCATGCTTTTGTGAACTGCAATTAACTATACGCTATTACAAACATCCATGTATGCGGCTAAGTAGGATAGCTTTCGTCATAATTATAAACATATTAGAATTTGTTTAAGGCCGACTATGAAATCCACAAAACTGGTGAGACAATTACCAACATTTACTCTTCAGATTCGCATTTGGTGTCAGACGGATCTTATTCAGCTTGCTCCCTACGCCCTAAATGTCTCGGATCTGGTCCAGACATATTTCGACGATTACCTGGACAACGAATACCCACTGGCTAAACAAGGTAAGACTATCGGTATTCGGAAGGCCTTTAAAGAACGGGTGCATGCCTATATGTTCCCCAATACCTATGTTCCCCAATACTGATGCTCCCCAACCCTAACCCTTACCCTAACCCTTTATACCCTAACCCTAACCCCAACCTAAGGGATTTCGGGAAACATTGGTATTGGGGAATATAGGTATTGGAGAGCGTCGGCTAGACCCCGAAAGAACTGTGCAACATTTGTATAGAAGAGCATGTGTCAAAAATAAAGAAGATCCGCTAATGTTCTGCATAGAGATCTCAGGATGGTTGGATGTGTAGCCTATTCTATCCGTCTTACCTATCCGCACAAAGCTTAAAATTAAGATATAAAATGCAGTTTGAATTCCCGGTTGAGAAAAAAAGGTTATTAGCTGAAGTACGTTGACAATGACCTGTGCGTGGTGGCTAAAAGATGTAACGTACTGGATGTTTGTTTTACTGAAAGTATAAGCTTCACCTTGTTCACATCATTTACTACATCACATTTTATTTAATACTGACAACAATTATATTGCGGCAGACGCTTTTAACATGTGTATTGCCAGGGAATGCCATGTAAGCTATTTAAATCCGGGGGGGGGGGAATGAAAATTCCCTCCTAAAAAACGCAATGAAACAGTTGGTCGTATTGATCGTACTCTGACAAATTTGAACATGAGTTAAACACGGTGCTTGTTTTATGTCCACTGTTGCAGATCACATAGCGATCCAGGACTTCGGCGCGGGTGCAATGGAGAACTGGGGCCTGATCACCTACCAAGACATATACCTGCTCTACGGAATGGAGGATTTCGGAGACAACACGTTCTACTCCTTAATCATCACCCATGAATTGGCACATATGGTAATTTATCTGTGACCCATGTACATAATGGTCAAAGGTTGAAAGGTGACGTTAATCTTGCTAAGACCAGGTGGAGCATGGTACCGGTACTATGCACCTTATGGACAGTCACCGTTATCTCTTATCAAAAATTTTATTAAACAATATTAGGCTTTCTGTATCACTAAATACCGCTGTTTGCAATCAGGGTTATGTAAGCAAGGCTGAGATCTGTCCACAAACGATCGTGTCACTTGAAAAAAAACAGGTTGCTGGTAAAAAGCAGCGGTATTAAAACTAACCCGCAAGGCATCACCAGATAACAATAAACTCGAATTCAAAACAGATTGACATTTGGTTTTGACACACTCCTTTTTAACAATGATAGTGATGTGGATTCTCCCATCTTGTATTTCCAGTGGTTCGGTAACCTAGTGACAATGGAGTGGTGGGACGACCTGTGGCTTAACGAAGGCTTCGCAACCTACATGGAACACATAGGTGTTGATCACGTGCACCCTGAATTCAACACGGTACACGAGTAACATGACTTGTTTCATGAACACTTTGGTTATTATATTGATAAAAACAGGCGATAGAGATAAAGTCTCAACAAAAGAAACTCGCAACATAAACAAAGTCACCTTTTCGAAATCAAGTGGACATGTACACTATTACCCACACACAAAAATATGTCATTCCTCCTAAAAAAAACTTACCCTAAAATCCAACAACTAACCCAATGAAAGTGGCGTTTCGTATAGGCCTATGCGCATGATGGTCTTCGTAATACCCACAATGATTATGCTCCAAAAGCTAATTTCAACCCAACGTTCAAGCAACCTATTTGTGATAATCGGAAATCTTTACGAATGTTCGAATTCGGGTTATCGAATCGAATGTTCTCCGTAAGTAATGTATTTGTCACCTGCCGCGTGAAGTGAATTTATCCATAGGGCGTATGGTTCCTAAATCCATTCTAAGGTCAGGTGGGTCAAGTTCTTTGGCCTCTGTTCAAATCCTATCATGTTGATGGACAGGTGGAATGGATTTCCATTCCCTCTTCCAAACATTAAAGACGCATTCTAAAAGTTTCAATGCTGTTTATTGAGATCTTGCGTCGCCTTGGATTCTAAAACACGTTTACCACGAAATGAAAAACAATCGGAAAGATTTGCAAGATACTAAATACGCACAAAAGTATATCCATAATTTATAATGTTTATTTTCGACAGGTATAATTAGGGTTGTCTGATCGAAAATCGAGCCTTTGGAGCGATTGCGAGTCTAGATTTCATGCAGTCACATGTGTCGTTTTCCCTAAAATAAAAAAGATGTTTCAAGCGCAGGTATACTCTCATGGTTGTGGTAGCGGTTTTCCCACTCTGAATTTTTACTTATACTTGGTATGTGTTACGATGTTAGTTGTGCCAGTCTGATATAGTGACATCTTTGGCTCATTATTATTTTTGCTACGTTCCCTGGCAAAACTTGCAAGGCAAAACTTATAAACTCACGAGTATAGAACACTTGTGCACTTTTCTTCGGATATTTTGGGACATTGTAATGTTTACCTATTGGAATGTTTCACTTAGTAGGCCATAATGTACATGTACATGTATGTTCATAGCTCTATGTGTATGTTCCACTTTTCTTCAGTTTCAAACCTTCTACGTCGACACCATCAATATAGCTCTATTCTATGATAGTCTGGGTATCTATCCTGCTATAAGGGCACCAGTCTACGCAGATGATGACGACATAGACAATCAATTTACAACCATTACGTACCAGAAGGTAGGATATATTAAAAGACCCAAGTAATCCATGTATGCACGTTTGTGTTCCAATTGACTTTATTTGCAATCTTCACATTGCCAGTTTAAGGGCGTGTTGGTGCCTTTTGGTTTTTATGCTAATGCATACGCAAAATTCCATATTCACGAGCAAAACTATGATGTCATTAATAGGGAATGTACAACATTTGCTTTGTCTTCAATTTTCGAAAATAAATGGATTTGGAGGATTAGAATGTTACAGCAAATATTGTTAAAATGACTTGTTTCACGTTTTGGGCTTGTATATACTGGAAAAACCGAGAAAACCATTCATGTTCTTGTAGTCTGGTTCCCTGACCCCACTTAAGATGAAACGGAGAATGTATATACTTTGGGGAATTGTAAGGTCAGAGAATCAGTCTAGCAGGATTGTACCCCTTCACAGGTGTGTAATCAATTGCAAAGAGTTTTTGCACCAAAGAGCTTGCAAGCAGTTCTTGAAAAAAAACAGTTTTCTCCAACGCTGGTCGGCCGACCAGCGTTGGAAAAATACGATTTTTCTTGAAAATGTCAGCACACCAGGAGCCACGATTTTGCAGGATGCTTTAGACTGTCATTCCCTAACAATCCATTATGGTATTTTGTGACAATCTCATCATTTCGTTTTGTGATGTTTGCAAATGTTGTATCTCCCTTTAAGGCACAAACGTCAGTTTCACATCTGCTTCAGCATAAAAAGTCACCCGAATTTTAGGGTTTTGCTGTGGTTCTTTGCTGTGGTTCATTGTTGTTTCAGTATATGATCGTAAGACAATGAGAAAACTGCATGCACCAATGTTTCAATAGCAGAATTTTGAGTTTACAATTTGAAGGGAAAAACCCTAATCTGACGAATGTGTTCGTAAAATGACTTACAGCAACAGTGTCCTCACTTGCCAAGAAAAGTATGTAATATTTAAAATGTTTAAGAAAGTACACTTTGCATTTTTTTATGGATAGAATGGATATTTGCTACAATTATGCTCCATTTTAATTTCAATTAATTTCATGGTCCTTTAAGATTCGATTCCTAATCTTCATGGCATAGCTTTTACATATAGGTTGACTATAAAGGGAGTGAGGAATCTCAAATGTTTTTTAAACGTCTAGAGCAGTCTGATTTAGCAATGACATATTTAATGTATCTCGTTTTCAATATGGCAGACTTTGTCCCCGAAAGCTAACACAGTTGAATACTCTCCAAAAAAAGTTGAAAAGGTGATGTAAGGCATAATTGACCTGTCATTACGAAAACCACTAACAAGAATATCATAATTGCATGGTACGATTCCGTTTTCAGGGTGGATCGCTGCTCTATATGATGGAGCATTTCCTGACAATCGAGGTCTTTAATCGAGGTGTAAAAAACTACCTGAAGGAACGTGCTTACAAAAATGCCAACGCGGAGCAACTGTGGCATGAACTAACTTACGTAGGTATCTCCGGCCATAGGAGGTTCATTGTTTTTATTATTTCAAGCAGTGTGGGCAAAAATATGATGTAAAATCCACATGTTCGAATCTAGGGTTTAGTAGAACGCAAAGTGAGAAGTTAAAGGAAGTGGAAACTCCTTCATCGTTGGACAACATTGACATAATATTCGCTGCCAACTACCGTGTGAAACATTTTTTAAAGAGTACTACAAGAAGAGAACATTTTTTTTCCAGTTCGGTTGGTGCGTCTCCTCTCTCTGTGTTATATTGTTTGTTTCCAAATTGAAACAATTTGGCAGCTTTTTGTCTTCTAGTGCGATTAATATTCACTGTATGGGTTGGGAGTTAGGAATCGTTGCATTCAGAATGCGATACGGAATGAAGGAATAATCAGACAAATACATCCCTTTGGTGTGCAGGCTGACAAGGATGTTGGTAAACACGACGTGAAGAAGATCATGGATACTTGGACCTTACAGCGTGGTTATCCCTTGATAACACTGACAAGAACAGGGAACAGCATCGTGGCCACACAGAAGATTTTCCTTCAGATTAACAGAACCATCGAGGATGACGGATTTGGAGACCTTGGGTAAAATATTCAACTTTTTATATAAAAGCTTATTTTTATAAGGCATAATTCACTACACAGTTTCACCTTTCGCTTTGTTTCGGTTCGCATATAATAAAAAAATTGTGGGAGAGTAAGAAGGCCTATGATGTCCATAATACAAAGCTGAAAAAGAAAAAAAGTTGTATTATGCAAATTGCTCAACTTAAAAGTAATGACGTAATTTCTTTCTTTCTTTTGTAGTTGTATGCTCACAAGCCCGTCAGAACTATTCAAATGGCTAGCTGTGTTTTTATTTCAGGTATAAATGGTATGTTCCTCTCACATATGTGTACAAGTCTGGACCCGGTGATCAATATGAAAAACCGCAACAAGTTTGGATGAAACCATCAGACGATTACAGTAAGTACTCATGGATTGCTGCTGCATGTTGTTGTTGTTGTTGTTGTTGTTGTTGTTGCTGCTGCTGCTAATTTATCAATAACTGCTTCTGATGTTGTTGTCGTTATTGCTGCTGCCACTGTATTTTAATGACGTTGCAGCTGCTTTTGATGCTGTTGCTGCTTGGTGCATGGTGCTGGTGCTGGTTTCGCTTTCTCTGCTGATCATGTCGTGTATAGTTGCTGTGATGCTCCCGCGGCTTCTTATTGCTACTGCTTCTACGTATGGCATTGCTACCTCAGTGGCGTATAACCAGGGACCCCGGCTGCCTCCCCCCCCCCCCATTTGAAATCTTCAATTGCACAAAAACAATGTAGATGTTTACCTTCAGTACACCCCCAGGTGCCTTCTAGAAACTTAACCTTAATTACGCCGCTCTGCTACTTTTAGCTCCTACTGCTGTTCTGCTGCTATTGCTGCTGTTGCTGCCGCCGCTGCTTCCGCTGAGTAAACGCGACATTATAAAAGAGTGTTCTGCAAAAAAAATAAATGCAACAGTAAAGTCATTAGTGGAAAATACCTGAGAACACGAGAAGAAATTTTGTATTGATTTGATGTTGCGATTTTATTTCAGCATACTTCGATCTACCGGACGATGCTAAAGCTGACGACTGGTACCTGGCCAATGCCAATACAATTGGTCTCTATCGCGTCAACTACGAAGACGACAACTGGCAACGACTCTTGGATCAAGCTGCAATGGACCCCGACGTGAGTGACATTCACTTCGTTTAAACAACACACACATACATTATTAATGGGTAATGTGTAAGTTGTCATGTCTCGAATGCACAGCTCGAATTTGCCGGTTGTGTTATGTGTCAAACTCATCGCCTCTGTATACATGTAGAAATCTATCGTATAAGGTTACCTCTCTAAAAACAAAAATGCACATAATGGTGTAAACTACTTTAGAACCGCTCAGATGGTCATTTATCTAATGACCTTATTTATAAATGTGCTTTTGATGTGTTTATAGGTCTTCAGTGAGGAAAACAAGGTGGGTCTGATCTACGACTCGTACTACCTGGCTCAGGCAGGGGTCGTCCCGATGTCGTATTATGACAGCTTCTCTGAACCTTTCAGAAACAATTCCAGACGAGCCAGACGAGCTGCTATTTCAACTTCATCCTATTTTGCAAGGATGTTGGACACTAAGACTAAGACCAACATCAAAAGGCGCTCCGTCTCTTCTGTACAGGTACTATCGTCAAGATTATGAATTCTATACCGATTATCTAGTATATGGATAAAACTTAAGCTGCGATCGCGAACTGTATGCCTTCTTATAACACAGACGTGGCATTTTTACCCTCATCTAAATCTGGGTTATATAAGTTATATAAATTAAATGTCATCATTAAATGTTTATCAATCGATGAGTGACGATACCTCAGTATTCTGCATTGATGTAATAGCAGAGTCGCGTCTCGAAAATGCGGTATTTAATAGCCTGTTTTCTACTTCCTCAAACACCATGGTAACATAATGTTTCAACAAACTATGCACAGACTGTAAAAGAGGTGTCCCTTTTCAGACCATTGTTAATCCAACGTGTATTATTATTTTTTACAGACTTACATGCAAAGTCTAGTAGAGCCACTGTATATGGAATCTGGTTGGGATGAGAGCTTTGTTCCGGATTTACCAGCAGCAAGGTAAAATTAAACTCAATCAATCAATCACCGTCACTTCATATTTCAAAATAGAATATTAATATTTGATAAACATAACTCGATCCTGACGACTATTTCTCCTTCTGCAATACTAAGGTAATAACACATCTTTTCTTTTTTTACTTGACCAAAAGCCTGTATCGTTCTTGTTGCGTGGTTCATCGAATCAACCCTTCGATTTCCTCTGAAGTTGGTTTCCTTTACGTCCAATGAGAAATTCCCAACTAAATTTCTTGCATCGAGCCTGCCGGATTTGTTGATTTTTACTTTGTTTTACTTTGACAGTGGTCGACGCGAACAGAGTAGCCGGTTTGACATAACGTCGACGGCATGTCGCTATGGCAACAGACACTGCATTACCAAGGCAACCGACATGTTCAAGGAATACATGAATGATCCGACACATAACACGTAAGTTATAATACTTTTGTTAATCAAAATTTCGGTAACATTCGTCCAGGTTACACAAGATGTTGAGTGACGTCATATTTGCCTTTTACATAAACTGCAGGATTCCAGACAATTTCAGAACGACTGTGTACTGCAATGGCATTCGTTTTGGAGGCGAATCGGAGTGGGACTTTGCTTTCAATATGCTGCGAACAAGTCACGACCGCCGCGAGAGGGCACGATGGGTTAGCGCCCTCACATGTTCTGTGGACACTTCTCTTCTTCAAAGGTATTTTTGAAGGCTCCAACCCTAAATTTATGTGAAATGGGCGGGGCTGCTACTTTCATATACCCGTTCAGAAAACAACTTGTTTCATTTCACAAACGTCTGTTTAAAAAAGTGCAATCGAATGTTCCCCAAACAACCATATAATGAGGTACTTGTGGACATCTTTGTAGATTATCTGAGTTAAATGAGTACCGTCCACAGATTTTTTAGCTGCGGGATAACAGCTCAACAGATCATCATGTCTCTCAGTTTGTTAGTCAGTAACATACGTTGACATTGTCTATTGCTCCTACATATTTTGACCGATTTCAACCAAACTTTGTCTAAAGTATCAGTAGCCCAGCCCCAATATGCCACATGACTGAACTGGGGTCAAAGGTCATCATGGGGTCACTGGGGAAAAAAAGCTGATTTATTTTTGCTCAAAACACTACCCCTTTTAGAAATTACCTGGGACAATCACGTGACTCATGCATGAACACGAACTCGTTGGCCCGCTGCTTCCAAGAAATTTATATAATCAATGGCCAAAAAAATATAAAAACAACCTAAACAAATTCCATTCTTCTATAAAAAACAGTTATCTGCAGTTGATGATGGATTCAACCACTTTTAGTCGGAGGGATGTCGAGCTTATCCTAATGGGCGTGGCCGAAAATCCCGATGGGTACGCGGTGGCTTGGGACTTTTTGCGCGACAACTGGGATGCAATCAGTACCATGTAAGTAATGTTAATTACAATTCAAAATGCTAACTGCCCTATAGTATTGTAATCTACGCACTTTTTACTCGATGTCAAAGCATTAGTTTATTATTCTACTTCTCTGGTTTACGCGTTGAGTGACTGCAAATAGAGTTCATATACAATAATCTTGCGCTTTTTATAGAATTTTCTACCAAATAGCCTGTATATACAGCACCTGTATCCTCAAGCCTTTATTCCCTAAGATCGCATAAATAATCATACGCACTTTGTTCTTTTATTGCACCGAATTTAATTTTATAAAAAATCCTGCGCTCGTTGAGGGCGTTGTGTGCATGTGTCTACTGAACAACAGCCAACCATTATATCAGCATGATCTAACGCGGCTTGTGTACATAATAACACACATAAAAATGAGTATATATGACTCGCCGGTGGAACCATCTCCAAAACTTATCATTCGATATTTCTTTGTCAGGTTCAAACGGAAGCGTCAGTCATTGTGCGATATCTTTGAGGGCATTACATCATTTTTCAACACCGAGGAACAACTTCAAGAGGTAAAGAAATGTTATTGTGAGATAACAATTCATTAAGATCAAAGTATCCAGTGCCATGCAGTGTAACCAGGGCCTCTACAAACTCTATCACCTGATTTTGAATTTAACTTTTTTTTTTACTTTCCAGTTGCTAGATTTTGGCCACGGCCGTAATCTCCGTGCTCTGAAGTATGCGTACAAGTCGGCCATTGCTTCGACCCAGGTTAACATCAGATGGATGGAAAACAGAGCTGCTGACGCTGAAGCGTTGGTCCGATCTGCAATCTAAACAGCGCCCTCAAGAACCAAAAAGTATCATTCAGCATGATTAAAGATAACAACTGAAACAGCGAGAGCGATATCAAGCTTAAGTAAAACAGGGGACGTCTTCTAATGCGTCTTCCAGTTAAGGAACACCACGTCTAACAAGAAATGTACATAAAATTGCGAAGGAGCAACGAACAACAAACGTTAACCGAGTACTTCAGTGATGAAAAATTACAAACAAGTATCCCTCAACTGGAAGATGTACCAAAGAAACTAAACGGCGTGTGACTGAAAATATTTATTCCTTAAAGCGATCACAAATTGTCGCTGTTTCAATTAGTATAACACAATTTAGATTAGTAGAAACGTACTCTAATTGCTTGTATTGATATTTGTAGCTTTTTATATGCTTTAGTACAGTAGGCCTAACAGATCAAATGTGTCTGTATTGGGCGAATGCAAAGTGCACTTCTACGTATTAAAATGTCAAACCGAATTTTTAAGTCACGTGTGGTGTTTGTATGATCTAATCAGTACTGTTGTGTTTTAATAATATTGCTTTTTGTACAATAATGTAATGTAACACAGTCAGCAAATTTAGTTCAGAATTACGCTAATTTAAAACTTGCGTTTATTTTACTATGAGGTTTTAAAGGTTTTCTTGGGGCAAGAAATCGATAAATATTCACCAATTTAAGCAAATTTCTTGTGAGCAATTTTAATGATTTTTTTCGAATCAGCAATAAAGTAGCATTTCGGTTTTATGTTTTTGCACATTGTTTGTTAATTTTATTGCACATTTATAAGCTGTACAGAGAATTACGTAGCTTACTTTAAAGATGAAAACAATTGAATTAAACGAATAAAGGTTGATGAATACAGCGATCGCTTTATCTCTCTCTTTGTGGTTTTTTTTTTTTTTGCGGCTTTCCGTTCGACGGCGATATCGCGATATTTGTCCCACTGATGAGATTTTATGAAATCAAGATCGTAAGCAAAAAAAACAATAACTGCATTTTTCCTCCTTAAAGTATTCGGGTTCTCGTACGAGCATCACAGGGTTTGTTTATGGTGTAAATTGAGGATTTTCTAGTGTTCCTGATCATCGATCTTTTGTTTATATTAATTTTTTTTGCAACAGCTCCCATTGGTTTTGTACACGTTTTCTAATCGGGGTCGTCCTCGATTTGACTCAGGTCCTCAATTACCGGTATTCATAATGCTTCACATCATGGGCGTCGCGAGAGGGGGGGGGGGGGCAAGGGGGGGGGCGAAGTCGTTTTGCTTTTAATTTAATGGGTGGGGGCAAATGTCCCTGTCCACCCTAGAACAATTATCAATCGAGAATATGCTGGAAAAGAACAGGGATTTCGGGGGATGTGCTTTGCCCCCCCCCCTTCTAGAAAAAAATTCTGGCGACGCCCATAATTATGCTTCACATGTGTGTCCTCGATTCATACCATACACACGCAGACAGTACAGACAGCCGAGCCGAAGCCACGATGTCTCACTCAATTTCAAGCAGTGCAGCGGTAGGGGTCGCGCGTCGGGTCACACGGGTTGCCTGAGAGACGTTCCCAATGAAGCACGTACCCATCACATTTTACGCGGTTGGGGTGTTGTTGGCTTGAACAACACCCCCCCCCCCCCCCCCCTGGTGTGATACGTAAATCACACCTGGATATTACAATTCTTGCCACGAAGCTAAAGTGTTCCCAGGGGAACTTGAGGGAGGTCCTGAACATATGAATTATTCATACCAAAAATAGTTGGGATCAAGCATTCATCATGCTGTACGTACGCGCAAGAATAAAAAAAAAAAGCGAAAATAGGTTGTCCCGAAATTAACATACGGTTCTTTAAAAAGAGTGTAAGTTAATTCACTCTTAAATTAAAAAAGCGATTTTTGCTAGGGGCCCTAGTGAAAAATTACTGGAAAAAAAGATGCAAACGTCACTCTAAAAGAGTAAAAAACCACTCGAAAGGAGTTGTTCCCCATATGGCTTTTTAGCAGGGTACGTGGTTTTCCGACTTCTTTTTTTACATACACACACAGACAGGCAGAATCTGTAGTGTTCGTATTTTATTCAGACACTAATTTTGAAGCCATTAGAACCTTGAAACGAAGACAAGATGAAAACAGGATGAAAATATCCTGCAGTACTCGACGTAAACAATCTAAATCCTGCAAACTGGATGAAACAGAACCGGCTCAATGATTTCGATAAACATCAAATCCAAACTAACATTACCAAAAGTTCAAGTTGAAGGTCAAGTCAAAACTAATCTGAGCTACGGAGTGGAAAAATAAACATACCAAACCAAATGTTCTCAACAGGCGAAGAGCCATACAGGCTTCGGTTAATAAAGGGGTCGTTCCGACTGATCCATGTTGGGGATCGTCATGTCGGGGATCGTCTGTTAGAGCTACTTCGAAAAAAATACCAAGATGGGTCGACGTGGCGAGTTCAACTTGGAAGAAGAGCCCGGTCGTAAAGGGAACGGTATCTACTGCAGTCAGCCCGTTCTCGTCTTCACCGTTCTTACAGTGTGCGTGTTGATTGCAGCCACAGTGCTCATGACGTACTACATCCCTCTGTCCCTCAAGGACGACGGCGTTGCAACCAAAGCACCTGCAGTCATACCATCGACAACTAAAGCCATGATGGCTACCGATCCACCTGCCGAACCGACCACCATGCCACCTTCGGATCTCATGCGGGGCCGGCTGCCGAAGACGGTCCTGCCTCGCCGGTATGAAGTCAACCTGCGACCGTTCCTATATGACGATGATGTTCCCGACTCCAAAATGGGAGAGAGGTTCACCTTCGATGGTTGGGTGCGGATTAAAGTCGAATGCATCGAACCGACGGACGAGATTACTCTGCACTCCAAGAATATCACCGTCCATGGCATGCCTACCGTCCTTAGTGTCAGCACCCTAGACAAGACCGATCTCTTTGAGAACTATAAGATGGTGGAGGAATACGCGTTTATGATCCTGAAGTTGAAACAAATGATGAAGCCACACCAGGAATATGACATCTACATGCAGTACTCAGGAATTCTGGGGGATGACGAAGCAGGATTCTACCCTAGCATGTATCTGGATTCCGTCAATAATACAAGGTAAGGATAAAGACCTCTGGCTACACCAGTTGATAAAGACACCGTCATGGTGTCGCAAACTCCTGGTAGGAATTCTGTAACTCAAGTGCCAAAAATGTATCTTTTATTTACCTCAATTATTTAATGTTGAAAGAAAATATGTTGTCCTGTGACTTGTGATATACCATCCCGGGGTTCTACCTCAATAAATACTAAATAGCTGAGCTTCCGACAGATTATAAGCATATGAACCTACTGACGGACTAGTCCAACGATCTAAATGTTTTATTAACCAAAACGCTGACCAACCAAAGCCGTTCGATCATTTTTGCTTAGCCAAATTCTGGGCAGGGGGAGGGGAACGGAGGCACAGGCCTCCGCAAGCAGTGATCATCCATTGAGTTAATCCACCACTGAGTAAATCATTATCACCCATCAATGCTAAGTGAACGGAGAGGTTTTTTTCTACATCTAGATACATCGCAACGACTCAGATGGAAGGGCCGTACGCACGACGCGTACTTCCATGTTTTGATGAGCCTACCTTCAAAGCCTCGTACGACGTTCAACTGGAACATCGTAACGATATGCAGGCGCTTTCTAACGGCATTGAGACGAAGCACATCCGACTGGATGGACACTGGTCGAGGACTTACTTCGAACGAGTCCCGTCGATACCCACCTACCTTCTGGCTTTTGTAGTACATGACTATTCTTCCATCAATGTCACCAATGCCAATGGGTGTTTGGTAAGGACATTTTTCTGGCTTTGTTTCGCTTGAAATCATCACATAACCACAATAACAACTAATTACTTGGTTCATTTGGTCAATTTGGAAATTGCCTTAAGTATACTACCAATTCCCTGTTTCAAGTCCTTGTTTCATCGAAGTCTAACAAAACTATTTCGCAGTGTAAATATGTTCACGCCGCTACATACAAGCATCTACATGCATGAGGCTAAGTAAAGTTATTTTGTCGAACAAATATTTCATAATCTGTTTTTCGGATACATTTGTTGTGTTATCTTAAACCCGATGACTTTTATAGTTTCAGGCCTAACTTCATGAACCAGGTGAGACAATTCAATTTACTCTTCAGATTCGTGTGTGGTGTCAGCCGGACCTCATTCACCTAGCTCCCTACGCCCTCAATGTCTCAGATAGGGTCCAGACATATTTCGACGATTACCTAGGCAGCGAATACCCACTGGCTAAACTAGGTAAGCTTTATATGTACTCCGACGTCTCTGAAATGAACTTGTGTCAGAAATAGACATGATCAGCCAACTGACTTCTTGTTGAGAAATACAGGTTTCAGCTGACGTCAATTGACAACGGCCTGTAACTGGTGACCACAAATCACATGCACCAGGACTCGCTAAAAAAATTAATTTAAGTCAGTACCTCATTGATCTTAACCGGGTCAAAGTTATCAACCAGGTCAAATTTTATTTAATACTTGCGAAAAAAAACACCATATATTCCGCTTTTGCACAGCCTATTAGATACAAAGTCGATCAAGCTTTAAATTAATATTGCGACAGACGCCGTTTAAAGGGCGAGTTGCATGGTACGTGGGCTTTTTAAATACAGAACAAAAGTCTGAGAATTTTGTAATAAATAAATGTCTGGTCAGTTATCGTACTCCGACGAATTAAAAGATGAGATCAACACGGTGCTTGTTCTATTTCCACTAGATCACATAGCCATCCCGAGCCTAGCTGCAATGGAGAACTGGGGCCTGATCATCTACAAAGACTCATTCCTTCTCTACGGATTGGAGGCTTACGGAGAGGCGTACTGCTCTGAAACCATCACCCATGAATTGGCACATATGGTAATTTATCTTCAAATGACCCATATACCTAATGGTAGTAATCAACCCAAAACAACAGGCACTCTAGTGTTAACAGATTTTTCTAAAGCATTCGACTGTGTTGATCATACAATCGCTGTGACTAAACTGATCTCCCTTGGAGTTAGATCTGAAATTGTTCCATGGATCATTAGCTTTCTTTCGTGCAGGCGTCAGAGGGTTCGTTATCAATCAGCCATTTCTGACTGGGAACACCTTACATGTGGAGTTCCTCAAGGGACAAAACTTAGTCCAATTATTTTTTTGGCCACCATTGACGACGCCTGCGCTGACTCCGTTGGTCACAAATGGAAATATGTCGATGACCTCAGCTTAGGTGAGATCAGATCTGTCAATAGCCATTCTTTTATGCAAAATAACATGGATGATTTGTTTCACTGGTCTCAGGCTAACAAACTTACGCTTAATCCATCTAAGTGTAAAACTATGCAATTTCACTTTGGGAAAAATCCCCCCGACCCACCTTCTTTAAAGATTGGTGATAACATAGTTGATGTTGTAGCACAAACAAAGTTGTTAGGAGTTTGGATTCAGAGTGACCTTAAATGGAGCACCCAGGTCCAAGAAATGATCTCTAAAAGTAGTAGACGCCTCCACATCTTAAGCCGTTTAAAAAGGTTTGGTGTTCCCAGAAACGATCTTGTAACAATATTTACTACTTATGTTCGTCCTGTCTTAGAATACGCTGCCCCTGTGTGGCACTCTGGTCTTACATCAAATCAAACATCATATATTGAAGCAATCCAAAAACGGGCATTTAAAATAATTTAGATCAGGATCACTCCACTTATGATCATGCATTGTCTAGATTTAGTATGAAAACCTTGGCTAACAGGAGGGAAGATCTTTGTTTACAATTTGCCAAATCTTGTGTTGCTTCTGATCGTTTTAAGAGTTGGTTCCCCCTAAACAGTAGAGTTCATGCCATGGAACTAAGACAAAGACGACAGTTCATTGAACCTAAAATAAAGGTGGAAAGGTACTCCAAAAGTACTGTCCCGTACCTTACAAAACTACTAAACTCATGTATGCGCACTTGATTGTCAACAGTTTTATAATAATCACATTACCTAAACAAACACGGAAAAAAAAAGAAAAAAAAAACTCTCCAGGATATATACCACCCCTAAATTTCAACTGCCGGTTGGATTTTGAAAAAGGCTGGACCATTTTTTTTTTTTTTTTTTTTTTTTTTTTTTTTATTATTGTATAGTGCCGTTTGGTTTTTTTCTTTCTTTTTCTTGTTTTCACAATCTGAAAATGTAATGTGATTTCAATGTTAAGTATGCTTTTAAATGTATTGTTCATCTTTTTGGTCAAAATTTGTGTGTGTGTAATTTTAATTAATAATGTTTTAATGGTGTTTTTATATAAGTGATAACTTTTAATCTTTGTACATTGAACCGCAATTCGGTCTTTTGACCGCGAGAGTTCGATAAAAAATAAATGAAATGAAATGAAATGAAAATGGTCAAAGGTTGACAGGTGACATTTATCCCGATATGTGTGACCAGGTGGAGCATGGTACCAAAATTACAATCACCGTTATGAAAGTTTCATTTAACATAACTTTAGGCTTTGCACTAAAGACGTTTGTTTGCATCAGTATTAAGCAATGCTGAGATCGACTTGACAAAGCTTTTGAGTGCCTTTTTAAGTTACTTGGGTAGTCCACAAATGATCGTTTCTCTTAAAAAGTCCAACAGGTTGTTCGACAAAAGCAGCGGCAGATAACAGTATAGTTTGGAGTATACGCTTATGTGTGGTCCATAATCAATATATATTAGACTTACATCAGGAAACAGTATACTTGAGGTCAAAACAAATCACCATGTTTGTGTTGACACATTCCATTTTGAACTCAATCAATCAATACTTTATTTCCACTCAATCAAATAACAATACATGGAAAATGGATATAATTAGAATGAAAGGCGATTAAGTGGTGGGAGTCTCCAAAAAGCAAGGCTTGTCGAGTAGAAACCCCCATAATGTGCATAGCTTAAAGGACTAGATAAACAGACATAGTGTTGTGGATATTCCTATCTTGTATTTCCAGTGGTTTGGTAATCTGGTGACAATGGAGTGGTGGGACGACCTGTGGCTTAAAGAAGGCTTCGCAACCTACATGGAACACATAGGTGTCCATCACGTGCACCCTGAATTTAACAAGGTACATGAGTAACATGACTAATTGTTTCATGAAAACTTTCATAAATTAATGAAACCGAAATTGATAATTCAATAATAGAGATGAAGTCTCAAGAAAGGGAAATCGTATCGCGCTCAAATATACATCCCCACTTCGAAATTAACTGAACTTAAATACTAACGCCGACAACAAAAATATGTCACTCCATTATAAAAGCCTTACTTTAAAATCTAATAACTAACCAAAGCAAGGAAGTGGTGTTATGTATGCGCATGATTATTTTTTGGTGTAATGCTTTACAATCATACTCCAAAAACTAATTTAAACCCAACGCTCAAAAAACCTATTTGTGATAATTGGAAACCTTGATGAATGGTCGATTTTGATGTTACGATTTGGGATATCGAAACGAATACTCTCTGTTAAGTAATAGAGAAAATGTATGTCTCCCCTGCTGCGTGAAGTGAATTTATCCACAGGGAGTGTATGGTTCCTAACCCATACCAAGATCAGGTGGGTCAGGTTCTTGACCTCTGTTAAATCCCATCCAGTTTTGACAGGTGCGTTTTCATTCCCTATTCGAATGTATTGGCATTTTCCCTCTATTTAAATCGGGTTTTTCTTAACCTCGAGTATTAGTTTTTTTGCGACCATGCATTCCAACACGATCACCGCGAAATGGTTTCAACCTTTTGTTTCTAGTAATGTAATGCATAATGTGGATAACCTTTGACCCCGATCTTTGAAATATGGGTAGTACAAAACCAAAAAATGCTGTTTTACATTCATCCGCGTTTGATTAAGTGCGTAATTTCGATATTTGAACAAATACAAATAGAAACCGCTTAATCAGTAGAGGCTCAAACTCTCCTAAAAACGGAAGTCAACCGATATTCTCTTTAAGCATGTTGACAACACTTCATCAACGATGGGCAAGTGACCTATGGTGGAATTTAAGGGTTTTGCATTCTACGTGCCTACCTTGTGGCAGTTTCTAGACTCCTATACGGTTTAGAAACTGCACCATATAGGGCATACTGTCTCTGTCAGAATTGCCATCAAACATTATCATGTGAATGTGTATCGCAGGAGGCGTGGCTGCATGGGGGTTGCAATGAGTATCAAGCATCGATTTTACGACAAAGTGTTTTTTTTTTATTTTACCTTGTTCATGAATATTTCGGATATTTTGGACATCATATTTTATACCTCTATTTTGATATTTCAGTAATAGCCAGCAACAGAGCCTGAAAGTTCACCCCTGATGGTGCAATTCCGAAACCATTGAATAGAAAAATTAACGCCCACAAATTCTAATTTGCAATTATTTTTGGTTCATTGATTTAAAAAAAAGTAATAGCCCTCTGTAATATATATATATCGCCTGTGTAGGAAACTGAAACATCGTATGTCGTTAAAGAGAAATATCGTGCCCAAAAAATCGACTTCTCACTTCCGTAAATCTAAAATACATGTGAACTAGTGAAACTCGGTGTATTCGTACAAAGATGAAAATTTATGAAAACTGAAATTTAGATAGGAGACTAAAGTGTCTTTTAGGATATTTTTTAAAAATAAACTTGAAGTACTCATCAGCATTATATTTACATTTTTTTTAATGACCGCTGATAAGGACTGCATTCAAGCCGGCCCGACTAAATCTGGAGCTACAGAGAGCCTACCTTTGCAATTAGCACCTGCTATTGAAAATCGGAAGTGGGAAAAGCAACAATTTTGAGTGAAAACTTGACATCATGTGTGACCTCATACTCCCGATTGTGTGACCGCACACTTCCGTGACACACAGAAAGGCATCAGACAGACAGACAGGACCGACAGACCGACAGACCGACATCAGACAGACATCGTATAATCTTTTAATACAGGATAGCTTTATGTGTATCTTCCACTTTTCATTCCAGTTTCAAAGCTTCTACGGCGACATCACCCAAGGAGCTCTGTCTTCTGATAGTCTAGGTACCTATCCTGCTATAAGAGCACCAGTCTACGCAGATGATGACGACATAACCAATGCATTTACAATCATTACGTACTATAAGGTAGCACGCATAACGATTCAATTACTTGACAACAGTGAGAAATCACAATTTTTTAAACGTCTCGAGCAGACCTGATTTAACCGAAATATAATTATGTAATTTGCCTTCAAATCCACTGATTACGATAGAAGTTTTTAACAGAAAGGTAAAATCCGCAGAATACCCTCTCTCCAAAAACTATTTCTTATTAAGATATCAATACGAAACCACTAACAAGAATATCATAATTGCCTTGTATGATTCCGTTTTCAGGGTGGATCGCTGCTCTATATGATGGAGCATTTCCTGACAATTGAGGTCTTTAATCAAGGTGTGAAAAACTACCTCAAGGAACGCGCTTACAAAAATGCCAACGCGGAGCACCTGTGGCACGAACTAACTTACGTAGGTATATGCGGCCTGTATTTTTAACTTCACTGTGTACCGAAGAGGCTGCTTAAGCCACTCCTAAATTTCAAAGGGTGTGTGATGAACTGATATTACAATCTACAATTCGAATCTAGGGCTCATCAGTAGAAGTCAAACCGCGAGAATTTATAGGAAGTGAACATCTGAACAACTAAACTGAACAACTGAAGTGAACTAACCTCTGATTTTTTGTGAGTGCTGCAACAAATGCATTATTTGTATCCACTTTCGTTGATGCCCCTAGTCTCCCCGTTTTGTACAGGCTGAGTAAAAAAAAAAAACCAAACCCAAATGTCGGGACTATTGTTTTAGTGAAGTTGTGAATGTAGCACTTTCAAATCTAGAATATGAAAGCCCAATTCATAAGATTTCTTTTAGTGAAAGAATCATTCAAAGCACTTATGTACTTTTCAAGTTTTTTTTAAACACAACCACCATTTTAAAAACATCTGTATGTGATTTGTTTTCGTTTTGCCGAAAGAACACTTAGGCCCTACTCACCCTGTATTGTTATTGTTTCCTATTCCCAGAATTTCGCAGAATTTTGTCTTTACCCGCGCGATTAACATTCTCTGAGTTCAGTGACAAAAAATACCTCCCTTTGGTGTGCAGGCTGACAGGGATGTTGGTAAACACGACGTGAAGAAGATCATGGATACTTGGACCTTACAGCGTGGTTATCCCTTGATAACACTGACAAGAACAGGGAACAGCATCGTGGCCACACAGAGGGTTTTCCTTCAGATTAACAAAACAATCGAAGATGGCGGATTTGGGGACCTTGGGTAAAATATTAAACTTTATATAATTAAATTCATTTTCGTGAGGCATAATATCACTTCACAGTTTCACTTTTTATGGTGTTTCGGTTCGCATACAAAACTCTTTTTTTTTTTATTAACGAGAGTGAGTAGGCCTAGGCCCAAAGGGGGAAATCGCTTTGTGCAAATCGCTAAACTTGCAAGAAATGACGTAACATCACAAGCGTAAATTTTACAACATTCTAATTTTGAAAACTTTTTTGGTAGGTGTATTCAAATTATGGCTGTGTTTTTATTTCAGGTATAAGTGGTATGTTCCCCTCACCTATGTGTACAAGTCTGGACCTGGTGATCAATATGAAAAACCGCAACAAGTTTGGATGGAACCATCAGACGATTACAGTAAGTACTCAGGGATTGCTGCTGCTGATGCTGCTAATTTATCAATAACTGCTTCCAGTGTTTTCTCTGCTGCTTTTGCTTTCTAATGTTGTTGTCGTTATTGCTGCTGCCACTGTATTTTAATGATGTTGCAGCTGATTTTGATGCTGTTGCTGCTGGTGCTGGTTTTGCTTGCTCTTCTGATCCTGCTGTCTAGTTGCTGCCACTGCTGCCGTACTGCTGCTTATATAAGCTGCTGTTATACTAGTGCTGTTCTGCTGCTATTGCTGCTGCGGCTGACGCCGATGCTTCTGATGAGTAGACTGTACATAAAAGAGTATTCACACAAAAATAAGGTAACAGCAAAGACATTAGTGGAAAACATCTGAATAAGTAAACAGAAATTTTGAATTGATTCGATGTTGCGATTTCAATCCAGCATACTTCGATCTACCAGACGATGCTAAAGCTGACGACTGGTACCTGGCCAATGCCAAGATGACTGGTTTCTATCGCGTCAACTACGAAGACGACAACTGGCAACGACTCTTGGATCAAGCTGCAATGGACCCCGACGTAAGTGACATTCACTTCGTTCAAACGACTCACGCATATGCATGTATATTATGGGTAATGTGTAAGCTGCCACGCCTCGAATGTGAAACTCAAATGTGCCGGTGGTGTTATGTTGGACTCATCGTCTCTGCCATTTTATCGCATATTATGGAGGAAAAAACAATTCAGGTGGTTCCTAAATCTTTACATACAAATCAAGCATCGCTGTCAAATTTTATAAATAAACATGCAAATTATGAAATGTTGCTAATGATGTGTGTGCAGGTCTTCAGTAAGGAAAACATGGTGGGTATGATCTTGGACTCGTTCAACCTGGCAAAGGCAGAGGTCGTCCCGATGTCGTATTATGACAGCTTCTCTGAAAGTCTCAGAAACAATTCCAGGAGAACCAGACGAGCTGCTGTTTCAACTTCATCCTATTTTGCCAAGATGTTGGACACTAAGACCAACATCAAAAGGCGCTCCACCTCTGCTGTACAGGTAATATCTTTGGATTTGTATATTAATTAGTAGAACTTTATTCCTTCGAAACACAGATGTGCCATTTTTACCCGCATTAATACCAAGACGTTTCCCATGAATACCATCGTAATGACCATCGTTACAACCATCCAACGTGTCTTTCTTTTACAGTCTTATGCGCAAACTCTAGTAGAGCCACTGTACATTGAGTCTGGTTGGGATGAGAGCTTTGTTCCTGATTCACCAGCAGCAAGGTAAAATTGAACTCACGTAATCACCGTCAATTATTTAAAGAAAATAAATATTTGATAAAAGTAACTCCTCACGGCTATTTCACCTTCTACAAAATTAAACTAACCGTTTTTCATTGACCACAAACCTGTACCGTTCTTGTTGGGTGGTTCATCGAATCACCGTTAGATTTTCTCTTTAAGTTGTTTCCCCTTTCGTTCTTTGAAATATCCAACTGAATATCTTGCATCATGCCTGCCAGATTTGTTGACATTTTTTGTTTGCTTTGACAGTGTTCGACGCGGAAAGAGTAGCCGGTTTGACATAACTTCGATAGCATGTCGCTATGGCAACAGACACTGCATCACCAGGGCAACCGACATGTACAAGGAATACATGAATGATCCGACATATAACGCGTTAGTTATAATACTTTTTTAAATCAAAATTTTGGTAACATTATTCGTCCAGTTTACACAAGATAGTCCGAGAGCCCAGTGAGGTTTAATTAGAATATCGCGCACAAAAGGTTTGATGTGGCAACGAGTAGGTGATGGGATGTGACGTAGTGGGTGGGTGTTGAGTGACGTCATATTTGCCTTTTACATACATTGCAGAATTCCAGACAATTTCAGAACCACTGTGTACTGCAATGGCATTCGTTTTGGAGGCGAATCGGAGTGGGACTTTGCTTTTGATATGCTGGGAACAGGTGACGACCGCCACGAGAGGGCGCGATGGGTTAGCGCCCTCACGTGTTCTGTAGACTCTTCTCTTCTTCAGAGGTATCTTTATTGTCGGATTATCAAAATGTGACAGCTCCAACCATGAGCTGAAAGCGAAATTATAAAAAGTCCAAGTGAAGTGATCGCAAATTGGGCATAATGTAAACCTAAATTTATATGAATTGGATGGGGCTGCTACTTGTATGCACCCGTTCAGAAAATGACTTGTTTCATTTCACAAACGTCTGTTGAAAAAAGTGATATCGAATTAAAACAAATAATGACGTTGGCCTACTTGCAAAGATAAAATTAAAGAATTATCCGACTTACTCCTCACGAGTCCCGTCTACGGTTGTTTTTCTTCATAAAATCTAGATACATCGACCAAGGCCTTATTTATAATCAATGGCAACAAAAAGTTATAACCTTAAAAATGATCCGATGAGTATATCCCACAGCTTTTTTTTCAGATAATCTAGATATATTGACATAGGCCTTGATAATTGCAAACAAACATCTTTTTTTTTTCAAAAACAGTTATCTACAGTTGATGATGGATTCAACCACTTTTAGTCGGAGGGATGTCGAGCTTATCCTTATGGGCGTGGCCGAAAATCCCGATGGATACGCGGTAGCTTGGGACTTTTTGTGTGACAACTGGGATGCAATCAGTACCATGTGAGTAATGTTAATTATAATTCAAAATGCTAACTGCCCAATAGTATTGTAATCTACGCACTTTTTACTCGACGTCAAAATATTAGTTTATTATTCTACTTCTCTGGTTTACTCGTAGAGTGACTGCAAATAGAGTTCATATACAATAATCTTGCGCTTTTTACAGAATTTTCTACCAAATAGCCTGTATACAGCACCGGTATCCTCAAGCCTTTATTTCCTAAGATACGCATAAATAATCATACGCACTTTGTTCTTTCATTGCATCGAATTTAATTTCATAAAAAATCCTGCGCTCGTTGAGGGTGCTGTGTGCATGTGGTGTACTGAACAACAGCCAACCAATATATCAGCATGATCTAACGCGGCTTGTGTACATAATAACACACATAAAAATGAGTATATATGACTCGCCGGTGGAACCATCTCCAAAACTTATCATTCGATATTTCTTTGGCAGGTTCAAACGGAAGCGTCAGTCATTGTGCGATATCTTTGAGGAGATTACATCATTTTTCAACACCGAGGAACAACTTCAAGAGGTAAAGAAATGTTATTGTGAGATAACAATTCATTAAGATCAAAGTATCCAGTGCCATGCAGTGTAACCAGGGCCTCTACAAACTCTATCACCTGATTTTGAATTAAACTTTTTTTTACTTTCCAGTTGCTAGATTTTGGCCACGGCCGTAATCTCGGTGCTCTGAAGTATGCGTACAAGTCGGCCATTGCTTCGACCGAGGTTAACATCAGATGGATGGAAAACAGAGCTGCTGACGCTGAAGCGTTGGTCCGATCTGCAATCTAAACAGCGCCCTCAAGAACCAAAAAGTATCATTCAGCATGATTAAAGATAACAACTGAAACAGCGAGAGCGATATCAAGCTTAAGTAAAACAGGGGACGTCTTCTAATGCGTCTTCCAGTTAAGGAACACCACGTCTAACAAGAAATGTACATAGAAATTGCGAAGGAGTAACGAACAACAAACGTTAACCGAGTACTTCAGTGATGAAAAATTACAAACAAGTATCCCTCAACTGGAAGATGTACCAAAGAAACTAAACGGCGTGTGACTGAAAATATTTATTCCTTAAAGTGATCACAAATTGTCGCTGTTTCAATTAGTATAACACAATTTAGATTAGTAGAAACGTACTCTAATTGCTTGTATTGATATTTGTAGATTTTAATATGCTTTAGTAGAGTAACAGATCAAATGTGTCTGTATTGGGCCAATGCAAACTGCATTAAAATGTCAAACCGAATGTTTATTAAGTCACGTGTGGTGCTTGTATGATCTAATCAGTACTGTTGGGGTTTTTATATAATGCTTTTTGTACAATAATGTAATGAAATACAGTCAGCAAAGCTAATCCAGAATTACGCTAATTTAAATCTTACGTTTATTTTACTATGAGGTTTTAAAGGTTTTCTATGGGCAAGAAATCGATAAATATTCACCAATTTAAGCAAATTTCTTATGAACAATTTTAGTGATCTTTTTCGAATCAGCAATGAAGTAGCATTAAGGTTTTATGTTTTTGCACATTGTTTGTTAATCTTATTGCACATTTATAAGCTGTACAGAGAATTACATAACTTACTTTAAAGATGAATACAATTGAATTAAACGAATAAAGGTTAATGAATACAGCGATCGCTTTATCTCTCTCTTTGTGATTTCTTTTTTTTTTTTGCGGCTTTTGACGGCGACATCGCGGTATTTGTCCCACTGATGAGATTTTACGAAACCAAGATCGTAAGCAAAAACATAATAACTGCATTTCTCCTCCATAAAGGATTCGGGTTCTCCTAGAGCATCCCGGGTTCTTTTATGGTGTAAATCGAGGATTTTCTAGTGTCCCTGATCATCGATCTTTTGTTTATACTCAATTTTTTTGCAACAGCTCCCATTGGTTTTGTACGCGTTTTCTAATCGGGGTCGTCCTCGATTTGACTCGTGTCCATTACCGGTACTCATAATGCTTCACATCATGGGCGTCGCGAGAGGGGCCGGGCAAGGGGGGACGAAGTCGTTTTGCTTTTAATTTAATTGGTGGGGGCAAATGTCCCTGTCATCCTCGACAAATTATCAATCGAGAATATGCTGGAAAAGAACAGGGATTTCGGGGGATGTGCTTTGCCCCCCCCCCCCTCTAGAAAAAAATTCTGGCGACGCCCATGCTTCACATGTGTGTCCTCGATTCATACCATACACACGCAGAGAGTACAGACAGCCGAGCCGAAGGCGTAATTATTTTTCCTAGGAGGGTTAGGGGCAATGTCATGAATAATTCAGTTTTTCCTTTGAATCATTGCAAGACTTAGGTTCTCGTTCTATTTTCCCCTTAATTTAAAATTATCTCAGTGATAAATTTGGAGAAGAAAAATAGCTGGTGAAAATGAGCAGCGACGACGTGGATTCGAACCAGGGATCTTTGTATCCATAAGCTCATCTCGCTATCCACTAGGCTACTGTGTGGTAGCTCGACGACAACCGTTCTTTAAAATGCTTTAACGTATTGTAACTACGCGGGGTTGGTGGTTCGAGCACTAAGTTGTCCTCTGCGACAATTATTATTTTTTTCGACATAGCGGAGGGGGCGGGGTGAGGGATTGATGACGACACGTGACTTTTGACGTCACCACCCTTTGCAACCTCAGGTTTATATATATTATAAGTTTGTAACCGGGGAGAGTGGAATTAGTTAGTTTTTAAAATGGGGCACTCTCCTTATGTCCGAGTGGTTCCACTAAAAAAAATGATTTGGGTAGAGCGAATGTTTCTGTAGTCTCAATAATATGAAATGTTTTATTTATAGTACAAATGTGAGACAATTTATATACAAATGATCAGGTACAGTATTTACAAAAAGAATTATATTAGAAACTTTGGTGAGTATATAAAAACAGAACTTTGTTGGGTATATAAAAACGACTTTGTAGGGTGTATAAAAGTATATAAAAACGACAGTCAAATAGGGAAATATGCTGATGAAGTCGCTCCAAGGATGGTATCTGAAAATTAGTGAAATGCATAAAAACAATAAATGACTAATGAAATATGGGAATAACTTCCAGATCCAAATACATTAACGATATTTAATTCAAAGAAATTTGGGGAAAACTGGTTTCCTTCATTGTAAATCAAAGAAAACTTTTTTTATAAATACATCAGTCAGTGAACAGAATGTTGCATAAAAATGACTGTTGCATGAAAAGATTCAGGCATAAACAGTTTCAGGCATAAAAGAGTTAAATAACACATGGGATTTACTCACCACTTGGGATGATCTACGTTCATGTCTTCTCCGTGCTCGATGTTAAAATCAATGTAGAAGCAGCAAAAATATTTCAAAATGCAATGCCGGCAATGCCAGATATAAAATTATATTGCTGCTATCGGGGAGCCGCACCCAAAACTTGCAGAAATGAATGTGCAATGCTCGCTGTAAATGCTGGTCGCAAAGCAGGAGCAGAACCAGGCAGATAGATGTCAACCCAAAGCAGAGTTGGAACGGAATCAACAATATTTTGGACCTAGCCCTACAAGAAAACCATACGAAACGCCCGGAATGCCATCTATCTAATTTGAACAAAGCGCGTGGAATGTTAAACTCGCCTACTCGCTACGCCCATTGCATAGTTGAAAAAGTAGCGGGCAAAATTCTAGGTCGCGCGCGCTGTGCAAAAAAAAGTTTAGTTGGCCGCGAGAGGGCGCTAGTCAAAAAGCATGATCGCAATGGCTGCTCACATGTAAAATGACACAAACACGAAGTTAAGAAGTTATGAAATGAATGCTGGAGTAAGGAACCAGTCGGGTAAAAGTAAGTACTGAAACCCGACCTGGTTACAAGTTGAAAACATTTCAAGTGCGAGCCGGTAGCTCAGTCGGTAGAGTGCCATTCGCAGATCTTCAATCGCGGGGTTGGTGGTTCGAGCCCCAGGTTGTCATCTGCGACATTTATCTGTTTTTCGACAGAGCGGAGGGGTCGGGGTGAGGGATTGGTGACGACACGTGACTATTGACGTCACCACCTTTTGCATCCTAAGGTTCATATATATTATGAATTGAAAACTTTTCAAGAGCGAGCCGGTAGCTCAGTCGGTAGAGTGCCATTCTCAGATATTCAATTGCGGGGTTGGTGGTTCGAGCCCCAGGTTGTCATCTGCGACATTTATTTTTTTCTAAGACGGAATGGGGGGGTAAGAGATTGATAACGACACGTGACTTTTGACGTCACAACCCTTTGCAACCTGAGGTTCATATATATTATAAATTGAAAACATTTCAAGTGCGAGCCGGTAGCTCAGTCGGTAGAGCGCCATTCGCAGATCTTCAATCGCGGGGTTGGTGGTTCGAGCCCTAAGTTGTCCTCTGCGAAATTTAATTTTTTTTTCGACAGAGCGGAGGGAGCGGGGTGAGGGATTGATGACGACACGTGACTTTTGACGTCACCACCCTTTGCAACCTCAGGTTCATATATATTATAAGATGAAAACATTTCGAGTGCATGCCGGTAGCTCAGTCGGTAGAGTGCCATTCTCAGATCTTCAATCGCGGGTTTAGTGGTTCGAGCCCCAGGTTGTCTTCTGCGACATTTTTTTTTCGACAGAGGGGTCGGGGTGAGGGATTGATGACGACACGTGACTTTTGACGTCCCACCCTTTGCCACCTGAGGTTCATATATATTATAAATTGAAAACATTTCAAGTGCGAGCCGGTAGCTCAGTCGGTAGAGTGCCATTCTCAGATCTTCAATCGCGGGGTTGGTGGTTCGAGCCCTAAGTTGTCCTCTGCGACATTTATTATATTTTTCGACAGAGCGGAGGGAGCGGGGTGAGGGATTGATGACGACACGTGACTTTTGACGTCACCACCCTTTGCAACCTCAGGTTCATATATATTATAAATTGAAAACATTTCAAGTGCATGCCGGTAGCTCAGTCGGTAGAGTGCAATTCTCATATCTTCAATTGCGGGGTTGGTGGTTCGAGCCCCAGGTTGTCATCTGCGACATTTACTATTTTTTTCGACATAGCGGAGGGGGCGGGGTGAGGGATTGATGACGACACGTGACTTTTGACCTCACCAACCTTTGCAACCTCAGGTTCATATATATTATAAGATGAAAACATTTCAAGTGCGAGCCGGTAGCTCAGTCGGTAGAGTGCCATTCGCAGATCTTCAATCGCGGGGTTGGTGGTTCGAGTTGTCCTCTGCGACATTTGTTACTTTTTTCGACATAGCGGAGGGGGCGGGGTGAGGGATTGGTGACGACACGTGACTTTTGACGTCACCACCTTTTGCATCCTAAGGTTCATATATATTATGAATTGAAAACTTTTCAAGAGCGAGCCGGTAGCTCAGTCGGTAGAGTGCCATTCTCAGATATTCAATCGCGGGGTTGGTGGTTCGAGCCCCAGGTTGTCATCTGCGACACTTATTTTTTTCTAAGACGGAATGGGGGGGTAAGAGATTGATAACGACACGTGACTTTTGACGTCGCAACCCCTTGCAACCTGAGGTTCATATATATTATAAATTGAAAACATTTCAAGTGCGAGCCGGTAGCTCAGTCGGTAGAGCGCCATTCGCAGATCTTCAATCGCGGGGTTGGTGGTTCGAGCCGTAAGTTGTCCTCTGCGAAATTTATTATTTTTTTCGACAGAGCAGAGGGAGCGGGGTGAGGGATTGATGACGACACGTGACTTTTGACGTCACCACCCTTTGCAACCTCAGGTTCATATATATTATAAGATGAAAACATTTCGAGTGCATGCCGGTAGCTCAGTCGGTAGAGTGCCATTCTCAGATCTTCAATCGCGGGTTTAGTGGTTCGAGCCCCAGGTTGTCTTCTGCGACATTTTTTTTTCGACAGAGGGGTCGGGGTGAGGGATTGATGACGACACGTGACTTTTGACGTCACAACCCTTTGCAACCTCAGGTTCATATATATTATAAATTCTAAACATTTAAAGTGCTAGCCGGTAGCTCAGTCGGTAGAGTGCCATTCTCATATCTTCAATTGCGGGATTGGTGGTTCCAGCCCCAGGTTGTCATCTGCGACATTTACTATTTTTTTCGACATAGCGGAGGGGGCGGGGTGAGGGATTGATGACGACACGTGACTTTTGACCTCACCAACCTTTGCAAACTGAGGTTCATATATATTACAAATTGAAAAATTTTCAAGTTAGAGCCGGTAGCTCAGTCGGTAGAGTGCCATTCTCATATCTACAATTGCGGGGTTGGTGGTTCGAGCCCCAGGTTGTCATCTGCGACATTTGTTTTTTTTCGACAGAGCGGAGGGGGCGGGGTGAGGGATTGATGACGACACGTGACTTTTGACGTTACCACCCTTTGCAACCTGAGGTTCATATATATTATAAATTGAAAACATCTCCAGTGCGATCCGGTAGCTCAGTCGGTAGAGTGCAATTCTCAGATCTTCAATCGCGGGGTTGGTGGTTCGAGCCCCAGGTTGTCATCTGCGACATTTGTTTTTTTTCGATAGAGCGGAGGGGCGGGGTGAAGGATTGATGACGACACGTGACTTTTGACGTTACCACCCTTTGCAACCTGAGGTTCATATATATTATAAATTGAAAACATTTCAAGTGCAGGCCGGTAGCTCAGTCGGTAGAGTGCA